TTGCTGTTAAAGATAACGTCTTTGTTAATATATTTTACTAGAAACATAATAACCCTAATAAGCTATAAAATCCCTAGGCTAGACCTTAGCTTATTATTAAAGCTAGGCTAAGAGGGACCTGGAAAGTTAAGCTCCCTAAAAGCATATACACCTACCTTATCTTCTACTCTAGTAAGCTAAGAAAAGCCCTTAATAACCTTTTACTAAGGTAACACTAAGAACTATTACTTTTAGTTATTTTTAATATTAATAAGCTTAAATATAAAGTATTAAAGATACTAAAGTTTTATATTTATAGAGGGAAACTTTAGTATAGAGCTAACTAAATAGGCTATAATAAAGACCTTATTTAGTATAACATAAAAGGTTTCTATTATTCTTCTGTTATACTCTAAGCCTTCTATAAGGTTAACTTAATAGCTATAGGCCCCTTAAAGAACTTTACCTAGTAGTTACTATTAGTTACTATTAATAATAAACCTTTAAGCTATTTTAATAATAACGCCTTAGCTAAACTAGTAGTTATATAACTTATAGACCTACTACTTAGTTAGTAGGCCTAACCCTGCTTTACTACGTTTTTACCTAAAAAAACATTTCTTAACTTATTATTTAAGGTAAAAAAACAGAAAAATTAACTTATAAAGGAAATATATAAAAGGATTATTATAAATAATAGCACTTAATTAAGAGAGAAGGGTAATGTTATGGCGTGGCTAGCTAGCACTATAGCTACTACCTGTTGCGACCCCTAGGGATAGATATAGCCTATGCGTGTAGCTGTGGTGGCTAGAAGGGAGGTTTTAGTCACGTGATAAGGGGATCGGCTGGTGCCCTTAAAGGCCTAGGCGATTAGCCTAGCGCAGCTGTAGATTTCTCTCTTCTTTACCTTTAAGTTTTCGCAAATAAGCAATACAGTTGTGTGTTAACCAACCCAGAATTTGCCGTTGTGACAGAAGCTACTAAAATACTATTATAAAGCTTTTTAGCTTTAATATAGCTTTAATAGTAAAAAGAACTTTTATTAAAATAATAAGTAGTTTTTATATAAAAATAATAAGTATAAGGTATATTAGTAATAATAGAATAAGCTTTAATAAACTTTAAAAGTATAAAACGCTTATAATTTTTTATTTTTATTTTTTAAGATTTTGTTTTTAGTTTTAATTTTTTTTATAACTTAATATAATATTAGTATTATAAATAAATAAGGAAATAAGTTTAATAACTTCTTTACCTAGGAAAAATAACTTACTTATAAGGTCTTAAGGGTAAGACCTTTAAAGAGGAGACCTAATGTTATAACTTAATAAGTATAACATAACCAGGGTTACTTTATAGGCGCTTAGTAGTTATAAGATAAGGTTATATATAGGATAATATAAGAATATGTTAATTCCCTCTTAGAATAAAAGAACTAAGGAAAGTTATATAAAGATAAAAAGAACTAATAATAAATAAGTGGTCTATAACCTAGGACTAATATACTAAGGATTAGTCCTTATCAAAGACTAACTTTAAGAGATTAGTCTTAATAGGGTAATAATAAAATATAAGGATAATTATTTTAACTAGACTAGATACCTTCTATAGCTCTTTAGTAATCAACTTTATAATTTATTCTCTTATAAGTGACTCTTAGATTATCCTTCTGTTATGAAGCTATAAAGCTATCTACGCCTAGACATGCCTGACTGATCACTAGACACTAACAGACCAGCAAGATTACTAACAAGACTTACCTTACTGTTACCAAGTATTAACCTTAGCTGCCTATTAGCAGAAAACACTACTGTCAGATATCTGACCATAACATAAATATAATATAAATAAGACTAGTATTTTTAAGGGCTAAGGTATAAATAAACTAATATTAAGTAAAGTAAAGACTAAGTTTATATAGAAAAAGTAGCTTAGATTATAAGCCTAGGTATCTATTATTAAGTATATTGTAACAGACGCTGACAGTGACGTCGGTCGCAAGGACCCTTTGACTCTACGGCCTAACTAATTGACCTAATTGACCCAAAAGATCCGTCAGTGCTTGCACGCGTGCAAGCCCTGCTGTCAACACTGCTTATATGCCCTTGTGACGTACAACCATCGGGCTAGGGGAGTTGTGCTGTTACATATATCTTAACTAAGGGCCTAGTATTATATCCTTTTATAATATATAAAAGTAAAATAGTCTAGTAGTAGTAGTTTCTTTTAGATCTTAGCCTATATAATAGATAAGAGTTTATAGTAATAGAGAATAAATAAATAACTAATAAGATTACTATTAAGTAGCTACTAAAGGTCTTTTTACTATAAACTACCTTCTCTTAGCTTAATTAAACTAGACTACTAGTCTTAGATAAGTATAAAAGCTATATAACAATAAAGTTTATATAGTAATACTATATTAATAACATTTATTTATTATTTTTACTACTATATACCTCTTATATCTTTTAGCTATTAGATTAGTTAGTCTTTAACTTAATCAAAGTAACCTATTATAATAAGCTTTAGCTTAACCTTAACTAATAAAATAATTCAACTATAATAAGTAAAAAACACTTCTTATTTTATTATTAGCTAATATACTTAGCTAAGCTAATAAAAAAGAATATTCTAAGTAGCTAGAAATATACTAGACTATAGCCTATTTCTATAACTAGACCTCTTTTAAGCTCTTTACTACTACCTAAGGTAATAGTACTATTAACACTATATAATAAAGCTACCTAAAATATCTAAAATATTTAAAATACTTAAAGTATAAATAAATAAGCATTTATTACATCTACTATTATATAGTCTATACTTAAAAAGATATAAGATCTTAATAGTTAACTAAACTTATTTAATAAAATAAATTAAAGTATTACTATATAACGCTAACTATTCAAAAAAGTCAAAAAAGACTTCCAAGAGCAGTCCTTCTAGCTAACTACTACCCAGCACTAAATATAGCTTCTCTAGGCCTAAGTTAATAATACTATAATAAAGAAAAAAAAGACTATCAAAATCGACCTTAATACTAAGTTCACTAACATCAGCAATATACAGTAAGCCTAGATCAAGGCTAGCAAAGTTGAAATAGATACAGATGAATCCAGCGCATCTAATTGCCCTAGCGAAGCAGAAAGCTATATCATAGTTGCATCTGGGCCTTGGCAATAGTTAATTGAAATAGGTGGTTATGTTGCGATAGCCTTGTTTTTGGGTGGCCGAAAAGCAGGGGTGGCCGAAAAGTGGGTGCTTTGACTTACATCTCGGTTAATCAACAGGGTCTAAAATTCCCGCTTTGAATAACATTATTATGCGACGTCTCGATCAGATTCCATAAGCCGGCGATTTAACCTCGTAACTGGTGTATCGTGGTTGCATCCTTTTAACTGAGTTTCGCCCTGCTATTGCGCAATCAGCCGATCTCTTCACTTTATACACATATGATTCAACTAGCCCTTCACTGTTGGATATTGATGGGTATCTAGAATTTACCACATCTAAATTCCTGAGTTTTGTCTTCTGTGTGTCAGAACTTGCGTCAACGACAAGCTTCTTACGGTACGCCGTAGACTGTCAACAGCCTTCTGCAGTTCAGTAGTGAGTCAACGTCGAAGCCCTATGTCACGGTGAAGAGATGCATTCTCGTTCAAACTCCTTCTTGTCATATAACCCAGTGCCATAACATGATCAGAGCTCAGATAGCAATTTTCGAGAAAATTCAGACTCAGACGGCTGCTGGACATTGGACAATTTTCTGCGTCCTTAATGATGCTATTACTTCCCAGCATTCATGGGTCGACGAGCGTCGTACCGAAACATCATAAAAATACAAAGTGGTGAAGGAAGACATTGCATTTAGAACAGTTCGTCATTAAGCAGTGTTTGGGAATGTTCGTGTGGGTGGTGGAAGCCCTGTCATAAGTCTCGAAAACCCATGAGATTTTGCCACCACTGATTTCTTCGAGTAGTCCTTGCAATAGGCGATATTAATTACGCGCTATATGACTCAATTAGGCACCGCTCTTGGCAGAACGCGAACGAAGCACCACACGGTCTTACAGGATGTCCCAGTGTGCACGATTGCTTGGCATTGTTGGCAGCATCTTGAGTGTGGCCTTCAATCGACATTGATGGAAATGGTGACTCGTGGAACTAGACCAAATCTCTTATGGATCCCATTGTATCAGGTTCGCGACTTAGGCTCGGTCGGCTTAATGAACAGAATTCGCTGAGTAGACTCTTTGGATGCTCAAATGAGTGACAGTTAGGCCGATGTCCATGCCCGGAAGGGAAACAAGCTGCGTTATCAAATTGACCCCAAATCTACCCAATTTCTGAAGCTAGAATGCAATGTTCGGTAGCGATCATGCAGAGAGGATAAGCGCCAAGGCACACTTATAGGTTTCGTTAAGTTGGTGTTGCATCTTGAGAACTAAGTTGTAGTGCCTAGATTGTCAAATGCATGGAACCAGGTGAGTATTTTACGTACGCAAATAGCAACATGTGAAGTGGCACGAATTAGAGTACTTGAGTTAGATGAAAGCCCAGAGCCTTGGGTCACCGTGGGCGGGAATGTCGGTAGCGGTTCCGTGCAATGTCGATATATTGTCCGGACCATGATCCTCCGTAGGTCCATCCGAAGCCCTGTCTGAAGACCCTCCTCGCTCAATACCAGCGACCTATTCGCCCAAACGACTTAATTGTAGAAAAACCACGGCTGATGTGTCGCCGCCATGGCGGTCTTGGCTTCTTATCACCTGGTCAGGTGCCGCCGTCTCGCCCCTTGCCGGCGCACCTCTGCAACGAGGAGAACGAATCGTGATATCCCAGGGAATGACGGGACACCGAACGCTATATATACCCTCTCAAACCTATGTCCTACCTACCATTCCGCCTCGAATAATGATAATCAAGACGAGCGCATTTGAGCAAATATTCTCTCTTTCGGCCCCCTTGCAAGCCACTGGTCTTTTTCTACAACTCAAAACTCACCCAAACTCACAATGAAGGTCCTCTTCCCTCTTCTGACGGCCAGCCTGGCCAGCGCTCACACCATCTTCTCTTCTCTTGAGGTCGGTGGTGTGAACCAGGGCGTCGGCAACGGTGTTCGTGTTCCTTCCTACAATGGCCCCGTTGAGGACGTTACATCCAACTCATTGGCCTGCAACGGTCCCCCTAACCCCACAACTCCAACCTCTAAGGTTATTACCGTTCAGGCCGGTCAGAACGTCACGGCCATCTGGCGCTACATGCTCAACTCTGCTGGCTCCGCACCAGCGGATGTCATGGATAGCAGCCACAAGGGCCCTACTATCGCGTACCTGAAGAAAGTTAGCGATGCCACCACCGACACCGGTGTCGGCAACGGATGGTTCAAAATCCAGCAGGATGGTTATAGCGGTGGCGTCTGGGGTACCGAGAAGGTCATTAATGGCCAAGGCCGCCACAGCATCAAGATTCCCGAATGCATTGCTCCCGGCCAGTACCTTCTTCGTGCGGAGATGATCGCTCTTCACGGCGCTGGAAGCTACCCTGGTGCTCAATTTTACATGGAGTGCGCTCAGATCAACGTCGTTGGAGGCACTGGATCCAAGACTCCTTCGACAGTCAGCTTCCCTGGTGCCTACAAAGGATCTGACCCTGGTGTCACCATCAGCATTGTAAGTTTCCTTTTGATAGCGCTCATGTTTTCTTCAGCCAGCTAACCAGACTAATCCCGTAGTACTGGCCTCCTATCACCAGCTACACGATTCCCGGGCCCGCTGTGTTCACCTGCTAGGCGCTTAATAGAGTGCATGAGTCGATTTGGGGGAAATTAGAACACGCATAGCGACCGTATGCAGTCTTTTCCATTCATTCTGCTTCTTGCGGGGGCTTTGCTAGGTGTACAGCCTGTTTCGTATGGTTTTTCTTGTACATAGTGACCAAACGTCAATAGAACTTTGTGGATCAAAGTTTGACTGAACATTAAGCAACGCTTTAAATCCATTGAAGAACTGCTGACTGGCTTTTCCCATAACCTGGTCCTGAGTATTAGAATAATCATTAGCGTCTTGAATGACTGGAATATTCGCAAACAAAATACCAAAAATGTTGACAAGCTGTGATGGGCTAAATAAAACAACTATCACATTCTGGTGATTGATTCACTTACAGACATGTAGTCTCTTGGCACCCGTCTTGGGAAGGACATGCTGCATCTCTCATGAATACCTGCCAACAACCGGATCAACTTTGCTGATCTCATTGCGTGGTACTCTTGTTGTCTGTGTACTTGAATATTTCCATTATCTCGTTTCACCATTTGACTGCGTCACTTCGCGACGCTGCAGTGCAGTGCGCTCAGTACCCAAATGCAGTCCGTCTTACCTATCATTCTCAAAAAAGCTGCCAAAGAGACTATGTCATGTACTACTTTAACAAAGTGTAGATGGCTTGAGCCTATATGTAACCCTAGCTAAGCAATGCATCGTAAAACACTGTAAATTACTTTTCTACTAATGTATCATAAATAATCAGTACATATTTCTTAAGCGTATCGTTTTCTCTAATCATTCAATGTAGAACCTTAATATTTTTGGTGTATTTGGTGCATTGCATATAGATGTTGTTACGTGCGTGTAGTGAGCACCAGCTAGCGCGCGTGAGAGAAATCTCGAATCCAAGTCAGCGGGTGCGTGGCACATGTAGTTGTATATCCGGTAGCTGTTAACAGCCAGAGATCCTGTACCCCGATGTTAGTGTTGAAATCCAAGAAAGGTTTTCCACGACCAGCAGATACAGCACGCTGTTGGCCTCGTTTGGCTATACGATGCTAACGGTTGACAAAAGATGCATGATTGACCAACAACAATGGTGACATTTCATGCCCTTGGATTTATTTGAGATATGAAAAATTCAAGGTGGTCTTTACTCCATGTAGAAATTCAATCAGCAATATTGAAGTTCAGCTGCTTAACTAAGAACTTGCCAAACTCAAGCCTTGATCTCTGCCAGTGAAAGCGATATGTATGTAGTAAAGTATGAAATGATAACTACCCGCTTTCAAATCAAACAACCTGGAATTATGACTTGCTTCTCGTTTAAAAGCGATTCTGTTTTCACTACTGAAGCTTTGAAAAGCTCGGATTGATCTAGGAACACGTATACAAAGACATTCCTCCAGGCTTTTGAGTGAATTGATAGCCCATGTTGATCTGTGGCTTTACTCATCTCTCAGAGGGCGAAGAAACAGCAACAAACTTCATGGTTTGGTTTGAGGCTCTTCAATTCTGATCTGAGCCCACCGCTACTCTGCTTGACGACTTTCCTGTCGCCCTCGAATGATTCTTCACTTCATGCAAGCGCGCGACAACTTTTTGATACTGGTACAAGCGAGGAAACAAAAGTAACACGTTCGGGAGAACATCGACGGTAAGCTAGACCGTACATTTTCACGGATGCACGTAATATTGAGTTATTCTAACAGTGTAAGATAGCTAGCTGACTGAGTAAAACAAACCCACCCTGGGTCGAGTGTTCATGTGGCACCAGAAGGGACGAGGAATTATGAAAAACAAGCAGATACTTGACCTGGAGCCTCCGGGCTTCCAACAGCGAGATTTACAACACGTCACCACGCTGAGGGACAGTTATTATAATTTTCTGATTGGTATCCAAAGTCTTGTTTCTCTATAGTATTATCGTCTTAAGAGTACCAGTGTCTTTTACCGTATCCATACCATCGTCAACCCTGACCGGGAAATACTTCCCGGTGCACTTAAAAGGCAGCGAGAGCACCAAAGACAAGCATCCCGAACGCGCCTATCGAGCCCATGGCAGCCGCAGCGGCGGGCTGGACAGTGGTGGTGGCGGCACCGCCAGCAACAGTGCCGGAAGCACTGGCGGTAGGAATAGAGGTGGCAGAAGCAGAAGTGACGGCGCCGGAAGTGATGGCGGAGGCAGAGGCAGAGGCAGACTCTACTGGAGGGGCGGAGGCGCCATTCGTGACCTCGCGACAAAACTTCCCAGCCGCCGGGAGGAGCTCGCCTATTTTTTATTTATGTAAGCTACTAATCCAAGCGACAATGGCGAAAACAGATAGGGGAACAAGATAGGTTGAGAAGAGATAGATGAAGAGGTAACGTACCAGTAGCGACTTCACTGCTGCAGGCTTGGAGAACGCAAGGGGTACCGACGGTGTAGATGTTGCGGTAATTGGTGGCCTCGCAGATGCAGGCCGAGTCGTCGATGCTGCTGCACTTGGTACCGTCCTTCACAGCCTTGGTGAGGCACTCGACGGAGCACTTGGGGATCACGTCGGTGAACTTTTGCTGTGCGACGGCCAGGCCGGCAGTAGCCAGAAGAACGTAGGAGTACTTCATTTTGACAGCTGTTTGTAAAGTTATCTTCAAGGGCTCCCGATGATTGACAACAACGGATTGTGCAGAATAGGGTAAGAAAAGAGAGTCTCTCGTCCCTGGCGCCGGGGGGCGAGTGAGCGTTATAAGTTTGTACACATGACGGATGGCTACTTGCTCCGATGTACCAAACTGTCTGGTCTTACTGGCTCACGAAAGGTCTAGAGTCAAGCTTTGCATGTGGCGCCCATAACGGAAGCGACGGGACCCTTTCTCACCATCATGAACTGGGCGCGAGAAGGGCAATAAGCTCGTGTAGGGTGGCTAGTTAGCGCATCTGTACCCAAAGATGGTTAGATGGTCCGGCCAGTTGAGCCGGGGGTCTGCAGGCCATGCCGGATCAGGCTGCTCGGTTACATACTCTGTTGCTTGATTCGGGCCCTGGTCTAGGGTCTTTTGACGATGATGTGGAGAGTTGAGTCTTGACTAAGTGGTTGGTGCGGGTAGTGATTGGCTGGAGGACATGATTAGATTGATAATGGTCTGAGGATGGGGTATGGCGGATGGGCAACGGGGCTTAAGTTTATCTGATGGATCAGATAAGATTGGATGGCGTTGCGTCGAGAGGAGACGAATTTTCAGCTGTCCGCCCTTGGGCTTCGAATCATAGCCTGCCGCTCCATTAAGTTTTCCTGCCCCTGTTCGGCTACTCTTCCGAAAGATTGAGTCTTTCCAACGTTCGATGCATTGGTCTTCCGCTGCCAACATGAAGAGACTTTTGATGCGCCCGAGATTGTGTGGTGGTTGGAGGGCCACATGCAGGGTCTAGTCGTCAAGACAGTCGTGCTGTTTTTTCATGATCACAACGCTAGGACAGCAAGTTGAGGGAGAGCACAAATCCAACCTTCCTCCATCATGGTTTTGAGTCGGGTAGCTAAGGATATGACTGTTTGTTGTTGGTAGTTATCAAAGCACCGTGAAAACTAGCGACAACAGCTCGAAAGTGTCTTTGACCATGGCAGGACTTCCGATGGAAGCAAGCTTATGAAAGTGCGGAATCGTCGGACTTCGGCAATATCGTACCAACAAAGTGGACATATGACATGGATCATGGACTCAAGGTGACTGCTGGGATTTAAGCTTGTTGGACCAAAAAACTTTAGTTACGTCAGGCGAGTATGAATTGAACTCTTCGAGAACACCTGATGGACTAACTCGTCACCAAAGTTGTTCAGGATGGTCTTCAAAGACTTGGTCAGCACGAAGCGTGGCAGATAGCCTCTGTGAGGTGTTGCGGCTCCAGCGATTCAGTGGGGTGCTAGCAGTGATGGAAAGGAAGATCTGTGCCTATGACAAGCTCCAACTTGTATGACCAATGCTGAGAAGTGTGCTTTTGGCCCTTGGTGGTGGTGGTGGCGGTATGATGCATGTCTGTCAAGAGGGACTAGCAATGGTCGACGCAAACAGTGATAGGGAGAGTGCTCAAGGGGAAAGGGTGGCTAGGCTGGCAGAGGCCGGCCAGTGCGGGTTTGTCTTGTGGCCAGTGGTGCCTGATGGCTGTACCAAGTTGATGTGGCTAGTGAGTTGCTCAGCCACACAGCGGAGCACGCCCCGGCGTTACCTAATTCTTCTACTCCGGACGGTTCCGTCCCGTCGAGCCGGCGATTGGTACGTAATTACCGCGGTACGTATCGTTAACGAAGCAAATGACGGCCGATAACGCAAGACGCAGTATGCCATTGACGAAGGAGAGAGTCACCGCGGTGGAGCCGATTCCTGGCCCGTAGCGCCGCGCAGAATAGCGACCCCGCCAAAGCAAAACCTGCCCCTCCATGGGAATTTTTAAAACCCCGCGTCTTTCTCTTCTGACTGTTTTTGTGAGATTATCGCAGACCGACGTTGCGATCGCAACAACCCATACTTTGGACATTTCGCTTGCAAGACAAACTTGTTGCTATACACTCAAACACACGCACACACTACGAGACGCCATGTCTACGATTGACATCGTTCTCGGCGCCCAGTGGGGGTAAGCTGCCATTCTTCTCGCGGCCCAACTTCCCTGCATTTGCTTTGCCTTTGCTCTACCTATCTTTTCTTCTTCTGCCGTCTCTCCATCTCTTCCCATGCCACTTTTTACCTTCTTCTCGCATTGTTCCCTCCACATCCCAGCCAGCAGGGCGGTTATACCGAGGGAAAACTCCGGGGTATATACATATGATTATTGTATGTGTATACCCACAGAGGTCGCGTCTGGACGACGCGCTGCCCTGCTGCGCCAATCGGAACAGTATCATGGACTAACACATCTCGCAACAACAGTGACGAGGGTAAGGGTAAGCTGGTTGACGTGTAAGCTCTTCCTTGTGCCCTCAGTCTCGTCCCAGTGACCCTCTAACCGCCCGGATACAGCCTCGGACAAGACGCGCAGATTTGCGCCAGAGCTCAGGTTGGGACTGCGGTACCTTCTGATTAATCAATGGCATGCTGATGGCCCTAGGGCGGACACAATGGTAGGAGTCACTCCAACTCCTGAAGACCAACCCAAGGACAATGAAATCTAACCCGACTGCTTCCAGCCGGTCACACTGTCATCGTCGATGGTGTCAGTTACGACTTCCGTAAGTCACGATGATGCTCCTCTCGTCGCGTCATTGCCTCCTCATGCTGACGTGTGCTGCCTCCAGACCTTCTCCCCTCCGGTCTCTTGCACCAGAAGTGCATAAGCCTCATCGGATCCGGCGCTGTCGTCCACGTCCCCACCTTCTTCAAGGAGATGGCCGACCTCGAGGCCAAGGGCCTGAAGAACATTCGCGAACGCCTCTTGGTGTCCGACCGATGCCACATCATCACCGACTGCCACATCCAGGTTGACGGATTGGAGGAGCAGGAGCTGGGCGGTAACAGCATCGGCACCACCAAGCGCGGTATCGGCCCAACTTACAGCACCATGGCCGCCCGCAACGGTATCACCATCAGCGAGATGTTCGACGAGGAGCTCTTTGAGCGCAAGCTCCGCCAGCTCGCTCAGGGCTTCAAGAAGCGCTTCGGCGACCTTCTTGTCTACGATGTTGAGGACGAGATCAAGCGCTTTAAGCAGTACAGAGAAGACCTCCGTGTATGTTCAGTCGACCCCACACTACTTCACTTGTCGTTGACGTGTGTGTCCACAGACTTTTGTTGTCGACGCTGTTCCCATCATCGCCGATGCCCAGAAGAACGGCAACAAGATCCTCGTCGAGGGTGCCCAAGCTGTCATGCTTGACCTGAGTACGTGGTTACGATAGTCCCATGCGCGTGCGCCCTGCTGACTTGAAGCAGACTTTGGAACTTACCCCTACGTCACATCATCCAACACTGGCCTTGGCGGTGTTTTCACTGGTGTAAGTCCCATGCCTTCATTGCCATCGTACATGCTTCTGACCCGTGACAGCTCGGCCTCAACCCCAAGAAGATCAACAACATCGTCGGTGTTGTCAAGAGCTACACGACCCGCGTGGGAGGTGGTGGCTTCCCCACGGAACTGCTCAACGAGACGGGCGAGAAGCTTCAGAAAATCGGCCACGAGATTGGTGTCTCCACTGGTCGCTCCCGCCGATGCGGCTGGCTTGACCTGGTCGTCGTCAAGTACTCGACAGACCTGAACCACTACACGGCGCTGAACCTCACCAAGCTCGACATTCTCGACACCTTCCCCACCATCAAGATCGCCGTGGCCTACAAGAACAAGCACACTGGCGAGAAGTTCGTCTCCTTCCCCGCCGACCTCAAGGCCCTCGAGGATGCCGAGGTCGTCTACGAAGAGCTCGAGGGCTGGAACACGCCCACGACGGGTTGCAAGACGTATTACGACCTGCCCAAGCAGGCCCGCGCCTACATCGAGTTCATTGAGAAGTTTGTCGGCGTCAAGGTTGTCTGGATTGGCACTGGCCCTAAGAGAGAGGATCTTATCTTCCGTGGATACTAGGTCTGCAGATCACTAAGAAAAGAACGACCGCAGGCGATGATAAAAAGCGACAATGGGTCTCGGTGAGCATATCGATAGATTTTCGATGTGAGCCAGAAAACAATAGATCACACATAGGACACAGCGCCACGCCCAGGATTGAATCCATCTGAAGGCATGCTAACGGGCTTGGGCTCTTTGAGCATCTCACCTGCTCCTTCAAGGGCTAAAATGAGTATTGCTTGATAATTCGTCGCCCTTCATAAAACAACGTCATCTGGGCTCGGGAATGACTCCTTACAGATGCACACTCCACGAGCACAAAGTCCGGGGCATTCATTGGAGACACAAGCAGCGGGGCCGAGGAAATCGGCTTTCCCATACCCCGACATCGGGAGGGGCTGAGGCATTTAGCGTTTCCCCGGAAGCCGCCGATGAAGTAGACTAGCAAAACTTTTCAAGTTTACTCTAAGTCAAGCACACGTCATTGGTCAACAGTGAGCTCACAGACCAAGGCCAAAGCACATCTGAATCCATCCCGTCCCCGGCAACTTTGATAGGAATATGAATTAAAAATTTTCACATTATTTCACAGACGGGTACCTTAGGTGCTCTGAATTGTTTGGCCGGTTGGCCCAATGGCAAGGCGTCTGACTACGATACACCGTGGAATCAGGAGATTGTGGGTTCGACCCCCATGCTGGTCAAAATCTTTTGCTGCTCGTTGCTACTGTCAGTTAAAAAACAAGATTCATCATTTCTTTAACTAGTTATGGGGTGCTTATATTATTATATCTGGTACATTTCCTATGGACGTATTACCTTTTTTGGTTGCTTTGTTGTCTTTATACACCTGGTGTTCTGTTTTACCCGTAACACTGACAAGCGTGAATGATCCTTTGGCAACATCCCCAACTCATCTGATTTCGCGGGTGCATAGTTGTCAATTTCCGGTGTGGCTGGGCTCAGTTGATTCACAGCTATTATGGTTAAGGAGAAATGAGTAGCCGTGGCATTGCTCCCGCTACGAAGTTGCCCTGCTTTTGAATCATGCAATGGATTTGTAACGTTGCAAATCTATGATTATCAGCAGCTGTGTGCTACCATTGGGACTCTTTGTTAACCAGTATTACTACACCGTGACCCGATAGACAGGATACTCATCGCCAACGCTAACCGGGAGAACGTTAAATGTAGCGTAAGAGTCAATACCCTCCGGCTCAAGGGTCACAAATGCGTGGGCGGCATTCTTTTGTCTCGTGCTAACCCAAAATCCTCCAGCCGGAATGCGAATCTCCTTCTTCACCGTCTCTGTCGTCACCGTTGTGCGCGCTACACCCTCGTACTTGGTCCTCGCGACCGCCGCGCCGGTGATGTTGAACGCCTCAACCTCTCCGTGGAAGTCGACCTGCAACGTCTGGACATCCAGACCGGTAAAACGAAGACGCTCGGCCACATCAGCCCACGCGCGGGAGAAGACGTATGCCTCCGGCCGGGATCGGGTGAGGTTCGCGACAACAGGCGTTGTGTTGAGGAATTGTACCGGCACGTCGACCAATTCGCCCGTCGTCGCTTGGATGAATTGCCAAGAGATGTTGGTCGGCCGGGCCGACTCAGTGACGATGATGTCTTCAGTACTAGCGATGAATTTTGCGCGCGCGTTCTCTACCGTGGTGTACACCTCTTCCGCTCGATCGGCGGCCGTCTGAACGATCGTCTCAACCATAGTCAGCCCCGAGGCGACGCGGCGCTGCCAGTGTTGGTCCGCCAGCCCAATACCGCGTGTCTCGGTGAGGAACATGATGGCTTGGCTCAGCGCGACGGAGCTATCACCGATCTTGGCGTCGCCGGTCGTCTCTTCCAGGACCACATCGTCGGTGCCAGAAGGGCCCGTGACATAGGCACCCCAGCGCAGGCTGCGGCGTTTGCAAACACGGTCTCGGAAATGTTCCTGATATCCGGGTGAATGTTTGCATTCTTCATGGCGGAGAATTGCCCGTCCTGCGCGTCAACCCATTGCTCATTGGCGCCAAAGGGGTTCGTGGGACTGTATTCGTGGCAATCCACGCCTACATGAGGTGCAAAGCCCATGACCAGCTCCTTGATGTCGCGAGTCTGCTGCCGCGCAAGCTTGGTGTGATCACGGTTCGGGTCAAAGTTGGTCGCGAAGTAACGCTGGAAGTACGCCACGCCGTCCGGGTTGTACCGCGGCAGCATCATGATATCAACCTTGTCGAGGACAGAGATAGCCCAGGTGCCGTTCGCGTCAAATTTTCCCAAGAGCGCAAGGAGGGCCTGGTCACCGGCAGGTTCGTTGCCGTGAACGCCTCCTTGCATCCAGATGCGGACCTTGCTGGGCGCGCTGCTGTTGGCGTGGGACTCCAGGCTGTTGACAACGGACTTTGAGGTGGATAGATAGACGTAAGGAATTGAGCGACCTTCTTCAGACTTGAAATCGGGGTTGTGATACGTCATCCACTCGTTGCGCGCGGCGAGTGTGCGGAGGAAATAGTCTGCGCGGTTCTTAGTCACTAGGTCGAGGTCTCACGAGAGTCAAGCAAAGGTCTTGTTCTAACCTACCTAGAGTCGCCTCGTCTGTTGGACCGCTGGTGCCATTGGAAAAGGTGCTGGGTACGCTCTCGGGTTTCGCGAAAGCGGGCGATAATAGCTCGATTTCTTCGACTTTGGGGAAATTCGCGGCGACAGCCTTGCTGTCGGGGATGACATTGGGCTGGTTGCTAGCGTAGGTGAGTTGAGCGGTCGTGAGACCTGCACGAAGCAGGCCCAGAGCTGCTGTCTTCTGGAAATGCATTGCCGCGATCGTTGCGGACTGAGCTCTGGCTTTTATGTGAGCTTGTCAGGCCTGAGAGAAAGGGGAGGCGTCTGGTAAAGCTGTTCGCGCCCTCAGCAATCATACTGAGTCGGATCTCTTCCATATTTTAAACCTCTACGGCAGCTATCGGCCTTTCACGGACCCCAATATTGGTCGCCAAGGTCTTATTTTGCCCTGCCCCAAAGCTAGAAAACGTCACGCCATGTTCTTTACTAGTACAGTGACACCAGTGATCACGGTACTTCTCTTGGAGCTATGCGGGAATAGGAATGTGTTTATCTACGCTGTGGATAGAGGGCCCCTCATTGTGTGGGGTTGGGTGGTTGGAGAGGTCTTGGATCCTTGGGAGAGCCTTTAAGAAATCTCCGGGGCTGCCTGCGAAAGCGTTTGCCAAGACGTGTTATCTCGCCAAGACACAAAAGGTCCTAGGCCGCCGGGCATGAGATGGTTTCGTCGATTCGGCCCACAGACAGGATCTGCTAAGCACTGTTTCAAGAACCAAGTTGTCAATGAACGTCTGGCAGCAATCAAGGTTACCTGTGTCTTATACACCCTTCACACAAAGCCAGTTTCCGGTCTCCGGGGGACGGTGTAGAGTTTGCCTGCTGAGGTGACCACGTGGGTTTGAACCCGGAGAAGCATACAGCAGTACAATATCTAGGCACGTAAAAGTTGAGCAACGGAGACGGAAACCATTCCCACTTATTCTCCTCCCTTCATGGGTCATTTCGCTGTAACCGAGCAGACCCCCTTTTCAAGCAAAGTCTAAGAGTTTCTTTAATACTCATGAATCTACTGGCTTCTGGGAACAGACTACGTAACTCCAATATGATTAGCAGGGTTTCAAATACACTAGGAGAAGATTCAAAAAGCTTACAGATCATACATAGCATGCAGCTGGTTGCTTTTCAGCTCCTGCGGGGTGTCGCAAGGAGTGCCAACGGGTCTTCGATCGTCCACCGCAGCGCACCACGGAACAGCTCTATGGAAACGCCCTCTAAGCCTTGTAGCATTTGTGCCAAATTGAGTAGACCTAGGTCCTTGTAGTACTGGTGTCTGGCCCTTGTCCCTATTGGTATCTTGAACTTATCGTGGGTTATATGGTCGAACCCGCCATGGCCCCTTACCCACCCCTCATGCTGCGGCCCAGGATTGGGCTCGCGTTCAATACCACACAGAGCTAAACATCATATCTTGGAATTCGACCCAGCCCCGGGGTTAAGGTTGCTTGAGATATTCGTTAAAATAATTCCTTAATTTGGGCCTCGGAAGTATGATAGAACTACAGGTCACGAGGCTCACTTGAATATTTGCTTTACTAGCTTAGGCCAGTCCCCGATCTCAGGAGCCATATATCGGCACACGATATAGTCATATCTCTCAGGCACGATCCAAGGACTTTCGACATCGTTAATCTCGAATTTGACGTTGGGTGGGACCTTTGCTGAAAACTTAAGCAAGGTTTTCTAATGACTATTTATATAAGGACTTATCAAGATGGTTGAATGGCAATTAGATCATTTCCAATGACCTTCTTTATATACTAGCAACCCTTCCGTTTAAATTGTCCGGCCGGAAGCTAAATCGCTTGCCTGTGCATTAAGAAAGTATTCGCTGATTTTCATAGCCCCTAATTTCAATGTTGTTAGCATATGATATGTGGCACATTACAGTAATCTCTGGAACACAAAAACTTTTCACATATCCCCGTGCCAGCTCCGATGTCGAGAATTCGGTGTGTCTTTGCTGACTTGATAGGAGCCAAATGCATATTGTGTCCGATTACCCTAGTGATCAAAGCATAGGCCACGTCAAGACGGTTATTCTCGGGTTTGTCATTCAGTAATATATACGCTAAACATGTCAGATAATTGAAAATGCTAGCTGATTACATGATTGAAGAAGACGCACATACTGATCAGAATGCGTGATACCGCCGGCCGTATTCCATAGGGTAGTCAAAGACGCTTGACGATGAAGATGCAGTGTAAGTCGGCCACTCTTCCGGCGGAATATATATGAAGCAAGGTCACGGTTCCAGACGTTCGATCATCGACAGAGGCGGTGTCATCGGTCTTGTGAGCGTTGATATGTGCCCAATGAAGATATGTGTCAGCCAAAACAGCTAACTGTCTCTCCTCCATCCGCTTCTACTTGCGCATTTTGGCCTTCAGGGCGCAGCTGAGTAGCAACAACAGCATTAGGCTGAGAAGCGATGAGTGATAAGCTGATGGGGATACTCGAAAAGGTCAGCGCTGGGCCGCTTTGTGAACCAAATTTATCAGCTAACTTGTTTGTGAGGTAGCAAACTACTGCTCATAAGCTGAAGTATTTTCATTTTACTTCAATAAGTATACATTAAGAATTTAGTATACTTTGCTATCTATACTAAGTGGACACAGCACTGTAAAAACTTTAGGTCCCAGGTTTTCTACGGTGGCGCACTGTGAAGTGGTCCCAAAACTTTTGACCTCTACTTAGGGAGCCAGAAAGTACATGCTAAGTTAAGGACGTACCTGATACATTTAGGAAACACCATAGCTATCCTCGCTATCGGTACCATAGTTAAAGACAAGACGCCTGCGGACAGAATGGATCGCGTCCACTCCAAGCAATCGCGGATAAGACGCCGACATCCCAATTATGCCCGGAACAACGCCATTACAATGCCAACTGATCAAGCTAAGATCGTATGTACAGAGATAATATTTTCATTCTACTCTATGGCCTTATATAGGAATTAGCCAAGGTACCGGGTCTTGAACCGTAACTTCGCTCGGCCCTTAACACCTGGCCTCCCTTCCGAAATCCAGGAGATAATCTCTACATCATCTTTTGAAAGACGAAGAGAAAACAAGAAAAGAAAATATATCATGGTGACCGTGACCGTGATGGAACAAGGCTGGTCAACGAACAAGGCCCTTTGTAATCCACACTGTTTCATGATGGCACTGAGTCCTTTTCATACGGGTCATATGCCATGAACGGTCTATTACGATTCCTCTTAACGCTGGCCTCTATAGATACTCTATCGATATCTCAGGCCTCTGATTTGATAGCTGACTTGATGTCGAGATGGATCGTTGGAATCTCAGTCGAGTTTACTGGCATCACATATGTAATATTCCAGAATTCGAAACCACTTTTGAATGTCAGCGCCGTCAGTAGAAGAAATGACTTATCCCCCAAACTCACTGAATGATAGAGCAAGTGCCGCCAACGAGTCCGCAGAAGCCAATCTCGGGCTGCTGCTTCACTGTGCCGTTGACGTTCACATGGATTCCCACGACGTCCTCGAAACCGGCAATGTCTCGTTTGTCGCCCAATGGGTTGGAGTTGACAAGAAAGGTAAAGACACTCGTCGAGTTACCGCGAGGGTAGGATAAACGTAGCTTTCCAGGACTAACTTCCACATCCATGGCCTCTTCTGTGCCATGCAGAACAGCAAACCCGACACTCCCGTCATGTCTGGACCACTGTATCACAGCAGGAGACCATTGAAGAGGATCTTGTCGTGGTCCCCCAAGGGTGTCCTCGTCATACGACTCGGCGCCGATGGTCAGATTACCCGATAGCCAAGCCGTAACATTGCGGGGAACCGCATCGTGTGGGGGCGAGAACGCAGCGGTCTCGTACATATGCTCACCCGGGAATGCGCTGAGCTTTTCCACAACTTCTGAGGGCACGATAGCGTCATGGAAAGGTGCCAAGACAGAGATGAGCGGCGCGTACTCGAAGTCGTCCGCGTGTGCCATGCTCCATGTTTGCGGGATTCCAGGGGCTTTCTCCTTGCCGATGAGAGACCAGATGTAGATATTGAGAATGGCGACATACTGGTTCATGTCAAAGCCGTAAGTTCTGTCCCATGGTCCTGCGACATTTCGAAGATTCGCATTGTACATGTTTCCAATCGTTTCCCAAATGGCCTTGATCATGCGTGCGCCATTCTGCCCCATCACAGAGGAATCGGCAGGCATATACTTCGCCCAAAGAGTTAAACCGTAAATGCTGACGCCCGCATACGTGGGGCTATTGAACTCGGAGAGGGTATCGTTAAGGTTGAACAGGTCCAAAATCTCTTGGGCGTAAAGCTCGCCGGCCGCGGTCATGTTGGAGTCGTTGAGGGCGCGGCCTGTCCAGCCCGTTGCGATGGCACGCATGATGGAAGGATTGCTGTAGGATGGATAAAGATTGTCGTCGTCAACTCCACCAACGCGGTAGCTGTCACCGATTGTATTGTTGTACATGCTCTCAAGAATAAGCTCTTGAACATCTTTAGGCAGAAGTTGTTTGAACTCTTCGTAAATCACAATAAGGGTCGTGCCGATGAACCCTCGCCAATTAGGATCCCAGGAGTTGTAAATCTGCAAATTGTGTCAGGAGAAACTTTGGTTCAAACGATAACTAAGTAAATCACGAACATTTTTGGGATACGCTGGAGTGCCAACAGTAGGCTCTTCCGGGTACACGGTGTAGTCTCCGTACCTGTTAAATCTTGTTAATATTCGTTGGCGAGGTGAGATTCGGAAAGCAACACTTACCATTGATCCTCAGGGTTCTTCTTCTGGTCCCCTATGACATTTTTTATGATCTTGATAGCTTGCTCCACATCGTCACCAGCATTGCGTTGCAAGAGACCTGACGCATACCAGACAGATGATCGGGTCTCGTGCTTCCCTGCCGCCAGGGGGTAGTAGAAGAAGTAAAGATAACCAGCCGCTGGGTCGTAAATTTTGTCAAGGAATTGCATAGACTGATCGAACAAGTCTTGTGCAAACCCTTTCAACTCCACCGCACCTCCTTGTTGTATAAGGCCCGGAAAGCTGAACAAGCCAAGCGCTAGCAAACAGTTAGTTGACAGCCGCATCTTGAACAACTCTACGCAGTTGATTTTGGGTGGTTTGTTTAACTAATTCAGACACAGATTGAGCTTTTATTGCCAGGTACAAACCCATCTCCCGGCAATGACCGGTGTAGAGTCCCTACTAAGACCTATCTCCTTCGTCCATCGCCCGCAAAGAACAATGGAGTGTGGACCGCCATCGTCGGACTATCGCATCCTTTGTGACGGGATCTTGTAGTGACATACAGATTGCGGGGAATCGCCCTTGCCTACTGAAGTGCCGAATGGAACGGTCCAGCGGGGAATTGCACAAATCAGCGCAGATACCGTTTATCCGAGATGAGATGACAGTGATGGCAGCTGTTCAGCTCAGCCCAACAACTGATGATCGGCTAAGACGGAAGTCGCAGCAAGAAAACGCCGGGTTTTCGCCCGGAGGCGTCCGGGCCGGTTGACCGGAGGCACGATGGTGAATCCAAAAATGGGTCTAAGCCAATGTCTGGAGACCAACTTTTGTCTTTAGAATTAGTACTATGTGGGTCATTGAACATGTTTCCTTCAATTTGAATACCTAGCGTACGTCGTGGCCCATTTTTGCGCAACCTAGGTGACGCACTTATCGCACTAGTAACTGTTTAGAACCCCGGTAAAGGATACCGAATGAGAAGCCGTGTGAAAGATAAGTTAAGTCCCTCGATTGCAGATCAAGGTCTTCTTCCTTGCCGGGTATTCAACCGGTCAAAAAGATAGCATATTTTCCGCAGTATGATAAGGCAGCATGGGTGGTCCGGTCATATTTTCCGTCCAACCTCGTTTGCAAAGGCTTAGAAGAAGGACCTGCAGAAGAGAACGTTCGAGACAGTACAGATAAACACTATCCGGAACTCCGAACTCTGGTGAGCATATGGCAACTCGTCGGCTTTTCCTGCCAACAATATTGTCCTTAAGCCGTTGCTCTGCACCATGTACAGCAGAGTCCATAGAACACATTCCTGTTTGCTCTCAGACATACCTGGTTCTTGCTAACAAAGAATGAAGTTGAGACTATGGAGAAGGCATAATATTTGTGGGACCAAAGCGCCTCAGGATATGGGTACCTGAAGCGTAGACAACCACCTTCGCAGCCGAGCAAAGATTGCCACTGAAATTTAAGGAGCACTTATTGCGGGCGAAATTCCATCTAGGTTTTCGCAGACTCGTTCTTTGAGTCATTTGTCGAGTTAGGTAGGCTTCGAGCGCAAGTTGGCTATACACGAGTAGAACAGCCTAGCACCGAGAACGGCAGGTTTCTTTACCTAACTCGAAGTCTGGTCCTCCAATCAATGATGTTCTAGGTGACTCCAACACTTTGAAGCTCGCTGGACAAAATAGTGAGAATTTCGGGCTTAAATTCTGGGTCGGATATCGTTGTGCCTACGTTGCTTCATGCAGGATCGAAACAAGTGGCCTATGTAGTTATGTGATATCAAGGTACTGTAAAGGTTGGTAGAGTCGGAGATATTTTGTCTGATTGATATAAGATGAATTGAGATAGACACGATGACAGGCTAGATGGCGGCTCCTGGTCTCGACTCTATCTGCACTTACCAAAAATCGAGGCTTTCTCATATGTTGGAGCTCTGTGGAACGCCTACATCGCGAGAGTAATACATAGAATAAAATTTTCTTTTTTTAGAAGTCAGAAAAATAAACCTTCACCGGTGCTTTGACACAGTGGCTAACGCCAATTTCTTACCTGCCATGAACCATACATAATATTCCAGTCGGCGGCTCTTTTTTCGAACGAGTGCTTCTCGATATTAGCTTCGTTTCAATTTAGGTACACTAGCTATTCAAGACAAGATATGTCCTTGTTTAATGACTGTAGGCAAGTATGTAACCAAACTTGCGTTGTGAAATTGAATGTAAACAAATTGATGTTCAGCATTCGAAACGATGATTCCAAGATTGAAGCACAGTCTTCTAAGTCCTGTTGATGCATCGTGATATGTTATAATAATTTTACTGTTTGTCTATTCATAAAGCATTGCCGAAGTTCCGCATAGATACACAGAACACTCGGTTTCGGCCAGACTCCCTAAGACTTCTGATAAGCATACCGAGGCCCCAAGGGGCTAAGAATCTTCAGTTCCCGCGGCTTAATGTAGAAAGGTTCGGTTGCATCAAAATAGTCATTGTAGTACTCTTTGGTCATTTGGTGCTAACAAATGAATCGCCAAATCAGTTACGGTCAGTAAGTGGTCTTGCTGGTAAAATCGTCTCACTTTTAATATCCAATCCACGGGTTCAGACCTAGAAACTTTGTTAGATACGAAAACAAATTTTTGGGAAAGATAAAGCCTCTCATTTGGCATACCATTTCTCAATCCACGTGATCGTGCCCGGAGAATCGTGAATTTGGTACATCTCAAAGTACATAAGCTCGGACTCCCTCTTCATCTTCTCAATAGTCGGCTCCGAAGCTTCAAGAAATCTGGCAACATCCCGAGGATGTACGTGAACGGTAACTTGGAAGACCGTCGTCATAATGTCTTTTGAACGTAGTATACCGAAGACTGAGGTACTACTATAGATTAAATTCTGTTGAGCTGTCATCAAAGCTGAGAGCTCTGATCTCGGGGGGGCAAAGCTTTTTATAGCCCGCAACAACGTTCTCCCCGCATGTCCGACTGGTCAAGTCCGACGGTGGCTCAGATGGTGAAACGTCTGACGTCTGACCAACAAATGTAGCACTTCGCCCTCAACCCCATCACTGTGCCTCACGTGTTGCGTGTAGCCTCAACCTGATTGGTAGTCTGCGTTCGCTGGATGATAGCGCAAAACGGAATAGGAGTGTTGATCCAAAGGACCACGTATGCGGTCGCTCAAGTCCAATAACATTCCCAGACTCTGTCGAAAAGATATAGAGCTCATCCGGCAGTGGTGGTCGCGACAGAAGGGAGGGGGAAGTCTAACGCCAAGTTGTCCAATTGACCCTCCGACAGAGACAAAGAGAAGACGCTATTGATTAATCAATCCGATTGATGAGGCCATATACGAGAATCGTATGCTCCTTCTGACATGCCCTTATGTACGCGTTCTCCTCTATTGAATGCACATTAGTCATCTTGCTTCCGATTGCCTGGTTCTGGCCCATTGGTAGTGGTTGTGCTTCCAGACCATACTGTCACTTAAACTGCAAAAGAAATTCAATTGGCAGTTGCTCCAGAGCTCAATTTTGACTTTTACAGCCGGAGGCAATGCCCCCTATGTACTGCTTAGCTAGCTTCCATTTGAAAATCGGCAGGTCTGTGTTTAAGGTATAATAGGAGCTGGTAATAAAGAGAAGAGTTGGTGAAGCAAGCAGAACACTTAGCCGACAGTATGGAGAATGCGTAAAGTCGGTATTGTCAATGTGATTGATTTATTGAGATATACTCTCCAAGCAAAACAGTCACTTTGGCAGTGATCAGGAATGAGTATGTATACAAGCTGAATACAAGTACTAGCCTAGGCTCTGATAACCATCGGTCTAGATTTCGAGGCTCTAAGGCTGACCTACGACTCTACCTCAACCTCTGATGTTATCTGTATTGGATGTGACCACAAGCCCAATAACTGTTGGATAATTGCTTTTTTTGTGAATAATCAATTTGGCTATTGACACCGATCTCAGGCAGACTCCTTTCAGTTCAACTGTATTTCTAGTCTATGTACTAAACACCGGAAAAATGTCGGAGGCCTGTGGTTTGAATACCGGCTGCATACAAGAGTGAACACCAGCAGGCATTGCAGAAATTAGCACAGGTTCCCTCGACTGACCGAATGGACAATTTACACTTGTGTCTGGGTGCCTATGATTGTGCCTCAGCCAACTACTTCGGGGGCATATTGTTGATTGTGTGGGACCTGGAGGATTTATTTGACAACAGTCGAGAATTTGCCATCTACATCTCCATACCGCAAGCGTGAGGATCTGGATTGATTAGAATCTGTGGCGGCTATGGTTTCGGGTACCTCCTTGTGAAAATGCAACACCTGACCGTTGAAATACTTATTGTATGTGTGGGCATACACAAACTGAACGCTGCACTTTCGACTAAACCTCAAAAGCGAACAAGTAACAGAAATACAGCCTTCGAGCAGTTGTGGAAGCAGATGGTGCGAAGCCATAACAACCATTATTCTTAAAAATATACTTTCAAACTATCTCCGTCCATGGGTTCATTAAATTTATGAGAGAAACCCTTGGGCATTCACATTAACTGACTTCCATGCCTAATGGCTGCGTATTATAGCTCGACGTCTCCCCATTAACCACAAATTGTCATATTTATGCCGTTCTCCTCCTTCAAATCTCTCGTCTCATATGAAGTTAATCAGAGTTGACCAATGACCAAGGAAAGTTCGGACTTGGCAAGCTTGGGTCAGTTTGACCCGTATCTCCTTTGCTTTCGGAGCTATCTTCTTCTTTGGATAACCGTCGTGACTTCATTAACGGAGTGACCGGGCTCGCAAAATGTCACCGAACCCGCGGTCTAGTGCATCGACGTAGCCTTGATCAATTAGGCATATGGCCAACGAAGTAACCCGCACCTTTTCCCCCACAATTCCCAGCAACATTATCATGTTGTCCAAAACCTCAAGCTCTTTGGTTCATTTCTCCGGCTCCCCTGTTGACCTCATTTTGAACCGCTGACACAGCCTTGAAGGCCAAGAATTGAGGGACACTGGCTTTTTAATATTTGTTTCTTCTTTGAAACCACATGACCGAAGAGCCATCTGACGGCAAGGAATGACTTCTCCTGTGAATACTTAGGCTCACTGCTAAACACTGCATACACACTAAAAAGACATTTGACGATGAACTCAAAAGGAAAACGTAGAATTCCCTTGAGTTAATAGCGCGCTATGCGCCCTTTGCCTTTTCCAGGGATTTCCGGGCGTGAAATGTAACAGCAGCAACAAAAACGCCAAGATTTGAAGGACTTTGGACGAAACGAAGCGTTTTCTTTGCTTAACTCATCATGGAAACTTTGGACGAATCTAGTTAGCATACTTCTGTTTCTCGCTATCAACCTGGCGCTTTGGCCCCTCTCATACGTTTACGAGTCAGTCTAGACGCTCACTTAATTAAAGGGTAAGATCATAGGTGAGGCCGCTTTAAGGTTTGCCAATGGATCGTCCAGGAAGCCAAGGGCCATTTCCTCAACTCTGATTGCGTGTTGCACGCAATCCACCTCCAGATAGAATCATGTTATAGTAGCTGCTTGCCTGTTTGTGCTTATTGAAGTCCATTCGAGATTCTTGTGATGCAGTTTTTGAAGGCATTCTTCAGATGCCGCAGCCTATCACATGATGTGAACTTGACACACTCGCTGAAAACGTACCCGCACGAATGGACGTGCAAAGTATGGTCCTGTTTGGACTCATGTGAGCCTCAAGCTCAGCGCGGACGGCGCTCGTTCCGATGGCAAACTACGTCTTAAACGTCCGTTCTCCTTGAGTTTCTGATGAGATTTCAAGGGAATAAACATACCAGCCAAACTCAGACTCTGCAGCCATCGGGGACTTGCATTCTATCCACGTCAATATGCAACCCACAGAAATCCTCGCCATTCTGGCGGGAACTTACCAACTCCTTAACACTTCAGCGTAAGATACTCCCAATACTTACTCTCGTATTAGCCAATGACAGCTTTCTACTCACATGAATCTCACAGGACGCGCGATGGGGTGCCTGTAAAGGACCGGACGTACGGCTCCAATCCGGTCGGCATTCTTTCCTACAGCAAGTCCGGCTACATGTCTGCTACCATCACGTCGACCGACCCCGAAGACCGACCGGCAAACTTGACGTTTCCCTCTCGAGATGGCCAGTCTGACTCCGACTGGGCAATCATTGGTAAACACAGTATTGGATATGCAGGGCCTGTCTCAATCACCGACGCAATCGAAGCCACTGCTACTTCTGGCCAACTCGTCCATGGCCCCCTGACAGTCGCAAATGTCCCTTCCATGGTGGGAAACAAACAATTACGGAACTATACAACGTTTGAGGGCGGAAATTTACTTCGCATCTCTTCGCAAAGAGATGGCAGTAATCGTGGCGAGCTTTGGTGGAAGAGGTTAGATTAAATGTCCCGGTATCGGGTCCTCGGTGGAAGCATCCTTTCTACATGATCTGCGCGATGAGGAGTACGGCTTTGTGATCTAATTGAATGTCAAAAGACTGAATAGAGTTGGGGTTCACCTGACCAGCTGATTAATCATTCTTCACAAGTCCTGAAATGACATTTTTGATACTGTAATTATGAGGTATAAAGCGAACCTACCTGCACAACTACAGCGAAAGTTTCAAGTGCTGTGGTCAGTCAATGACCTCAGTGTCTGTGTGAAAGTAAATGAAAGCTGTGATAAAAATGACGTCGACAGTGGTCCAAACCCCTTGGAGTTTCCCGGTGGCCCTTCAATGAAATGATGTGCAATGTTCACATCGCATCTTGGAAGCAAGTATTCATATTCAGTTAATCCAAGACGCAACCCTTCTTTCAACAACTTATCCCCATAGCAGGTTGCGGCTTGTTTTTATCAACAAACAACGACAATTCATCATTCATGGTGTCCACTTCGTAAGGCAGCACTATTATTCAGTGTACCCTATTGTCCAAAACAGAAACTATGAGCAATGATCATATCAACCAAGCTTTCAAAACGGCAAACAGGCTTAACAGTTAAACTGGTCATCTGAACCGCAGGCAAGCAGATTAATACCAGCATCGAGCAGACATTTTCTGGTTATTGGGCTTGGCTTTTGTCATTGTCTGTGCAGCTGTCCCAACGTGGTGTAGGTGTATTACCTTTCAAGTTTCGCTGGGCGGTTTAGGCTCAGTCAGCCTAATAGCTTCTGGACTCCTGAAGTGACGTTAACGTTCAGCTGGGAGACAGACCAGAAACAATTCTCGAAAGAAACGGTTACAGTTTTTTTTACGTAACGAATCATTGTCCTCAACAAAACCAATTCCCAACAGCCATTAAAATCCTTGTTTCAATACCGTGTCCATGTCAACGCAGTTGGAGTCCGCTTAAACGCCAACCAAGGCTACTCAAAAGCTTGGTTGGCTAGCTTATCGGCTTCCTGGTTTTCCTCTCTCGGAATTGGCCAAAACATGATATCCAGCCCGCCGTCATCGCCATATGTCATATCGTCCAACCGCTCGTGGAGTTCCTTAAGTGTTTCAAAGTGCGCAACTCTGTGGCCCCTAGCGTTGATCCCTTCGTTCTCGATCCAGTCCCCTATCCATAACGACATGGCATTGGCAAGATACTCTGAGTCCGTTGCAATCTTAATATTTGACAAGGAGTAGTCGCGGTTGGTAATTTCGTGGAGGATATCTAGCGCTTTGACAAGGGCCTCAATCTCTGCGCGAGAGTTGGTCTGCGGGAGGTCCGGCGAGAGCAGGCCGCAACGATTGTACTGGGACCCAGGGCCAAAGTAGACGCCCCACGAGCCTCGAGCCGAGGGGTGCCGTTGTTGCGGCAGGCGCCATCAATGTATATAACGAGACTTCCTGGATCCGAAACGACGCCTTTTTTGCTCCAGGAGTACATCTGAAGGCCAAGGACTTGTTTTCGGGGGTCGTAAACGACGAGCTCTGATCTTGGGACCATCCTGTGCGCATCGCTAGCACGATGCTCAAACAGGCGACTTCCCTCTCCATCGTCATCATCATATCCCATCATCTTGTCGCTCTTCCTTTTTCCCAGGTAAGGATAATGTCGCCTTTCTCTAATATGTAGGTATACCGTAGAGTTCGTCGCGTGTTGTGTGGGTTCGTGATGTGCCTTCAATGCCACCGTGCGATCACTCAACTCTTCCGTTCGAACAATTACTTTGGAGCTTGACTGTGATATTATCAAAAATCTGGCTGCGAAGGTAATTAGATTAGGTCCCGTAAACTGCTGGGTGTCTTGAGATTATGGACGAGCCGCGATCAGAAGCGTATGGAAATGTAACAAGCGGTGCGGTTCAGCGAAAAGAGGGGGAAGGCTAAGCAGAGCAGATTTCGCGTTGGGGTACGAATAAAAGTGGGTCCTTGAACCTTCGTCAATCATGTCAGCCAGAAAATCAGTTGAATTGGTATCAATCAATGAATGTTGCAAATGTTGGTCGATTTGAGGAACCTTGGCGTGTCACGTCAGCTTGTATCGGACCCCCTTGAAGTCTGGACGAACAACGCTTTCGGTCCTCTTTATTTCAATTTCTTCTACATCCAACTTCTAGTATATTTTATACCTTGCCGGTCTCAACACATTCAAATACCTTATGGAAGTCAAAGCCGCCCCTTTGTCCTCATATAAACATTAGCGCAACTGCGAGCAATACGAGAACAAGACCCGGCAGCAGTACTGTCATCATCAACTCGTCCATTGCAAGCTCGGTGCTGGGCGAAATCAGGCTCAGAGGAAAGCTTGGCGGAAACGCCCGCCGCCGTCGTTCTACCGTCTCCATGAGGTGTCTTGGCACATTGTGGATACCGATGGTCAAGCGGTGGTTTGTCTTGTCCGTATCGTGATGAACGTAAAGTGTCTCCAAATCGGGATTATACGACCATTCTCCGTCACTGACCTTGACGTCGATGTTGCAGTCAGCGTAGTGATACTTTGGCACAAACACTTCAGTCGTTCGTGACTTGTCCGATTGCTTCTTCTCTGCCTGGTTTGCATTTTGAGTCTCAGTTGCCCACTCAAACTCGTACCGCAGGGTTCGAGGGTCCCAATCCGATCGCAAAGGTCGCCCAGCGACTTTGACAGCGTATGGACGGATGATAACATCGAGCACCCTTCCCCCACGGTAAAGTTCATGCTCTTCGTGCGCCTCATTGGTATAGTCGGGAACAATGTGGCCAGGCTTGGCTTCAGTGTTGCCGTTGACGACAGAGAAGTCTTCCATATTCCAGCCATCGCCATATTCGACGCGGTTGTCGGGGTTGTAGTTCCACAGTGTGAAGGCGACCTGATTATCCTCCATGGCCGAAATGAGAGCATGCATCAACTCTCGCTGCTTGTCGTACTGTCCAGTCTTGAACGCCTCGCCGCCGTTGATGTCGAAGGGGATACCGACTTCGCCGATAAGGGCCGGGACATGTCCGCCTAGCGACTGCTTCCCGTACCGAAGAATATTTGAAAGCTGAAGGCGATAGTTCCTCCGCAGCGCTTTTGCACCAAAGTAGAGTGCTTTGAGAATGAACATGCCTCTCGACGCACCCTGTACGTTGACGCTCATCCATGAGTGGTGTTTGCTGAACAAGACGTTGAGGTCGTAGAAGTGCGGCGCAAATACAAGGTTGTTTGGCCTCGGCGTGTCGATGATTGTTTTGGTCGCATAGGTTTGTTTATGCGCTGATTGATCCGCCTTGTCCCCTTCCCCAATCCAGGGTGGCATAAATTCGTTTGGTATCGGCTCAAAGAAGCAGAACTGACGAGGGGATTTGCGGGAGACGCGCTCAGAGAAGCGCTTCAGGAAAGGGCCGTAGAAGTCCCGATACCATTCTAGTGGTTTTCCCTCATGGCCCGGACGATGGTCCACCTCGAAATAGTCCTTCAGCAGCACCTTTGGGCTTTTCTTGGCCTCGTCCCATTCCCAGACGCCATGGGCGCGCCATACACACTTGCCCAGCCCATAGTTTTGAGGCTTTGATGCATCTGATTTCGCAATCAACCAAGCAGACCTTCCCTTCGGGTCGACACGCGTTCGGTGCGAAACACGGGTAGGAAACGGCCAGGACTTGACATAATAATCCACTTCCTGGGCATAGCCGCTGGCAAGCGCAAGAGCTTGCGTCAAAGACGGGTAGTACCCAATGTGAAGGTCGGTATCATAGTTCCAGCCATCGAAACTGTGAAGGTTAATGAGGCCGCGGTGCGGCTCGTTGAACGGCTCGAAACCAACGCATGCTTCGAGACCGCCAACCTCGTCGGCTAATCGGCCGAAAGCTTCAATAAATGCATCTTGAAGGAACTCCCGCACTGAGACAGTATCATCAGGTTTTGAGCTCTGTGGCCGCGGACAACGCAGCTTTGGTGCAAGAGCGTCCCCAGCCCAGAACAATGTAGCCATTGTTGATGCAGCTAGCTTCTGATACCCTGAAGGCCACACAAAAGGGCCGCTGGGTTCCTTCTCGTTTACTGGCGCATTTGCGCGCCGTAGTTCATCCTGGCCATGAACGTAAGCGGCGCCTGTGTCGGTGAAAGCTTCGACGTCAAGCCCCGCAACTTCGAAAGTCCAACCAGGGGCACCACTCCCACCGCTGAACCGACTCCAGACATCTTGGTGGGCGCAGATAAAGCACTTGATGCCATACTTGGGCATAAGCTCAATAAGCTTGCGCAAGTAGTCGATGTACTCCAGGTCGAGATCGGTCTGGGGATTCGGTCCAGAATGACCAAGCGACTCCCATGTGACAAGAAGACGGATGAGAGGGAGTCCCCAAGCCTGCAGGCGCCGGAAGTGCAGAGGCGCATCCTCGAGAGGAAATGGCCTGCCTACAAAAGTTACAGTGCGGTGCTCGAAGAAGCCCTCAGTGAGATGGGAGAGGCCGTTGGGTTTTGTCGGCAGCTTGCTGGCTCCTGAGATGTTGAGTCCGTGAAGGGTGAGTGTGCGACCGTATCCGTCCACAAAGTAGCCATCTTTCAGGCCAATTGGCCCTCCCAGAGCGGCATCTGAGAGATCCTGGGCAGGATATTTGTCCACCATCGTAAATGGGGTTGAATTGGCCGGGTCAGATGAAGAGGTGAGCCAGCTGTTGGTTGGTTGGTCGCGGTGTCTCACTGAGCGTAGTAGCAGCTCGGGACAGGACAGATTACCTGTCTTAGTCAGCAACAGCCGCTTCGTATCCTGGTGACCGACCAGTGAAGCCAATAATTACTGGTTAACCTTTCAAACAAGAAATCCCGCAAAACTGAGCAGAACGCGTAAGCCAGCTTGAGAATTTCACAGCACGCTCAGCATTCAAAGCTACCATTGACTTATGTCGCGCCACTGTTCTTTACTGGTAAAGATATCCAGAGACGGGGCGTGAGCGCTGCTTGCCGGGGATCTCGGGTCCCGAAATGTAGATGCTGAGCTCTTGGCAGCTCCATCAAGCTTGTCCTGAAACCTTGAATGATCACTTGTCTCCACCCGAGAACTCGTGGGGGTCTGGTGGTGCATCGACATTACTTTCCAAGTCTGTTACCGTAAGTGAAAACAGGGAGACACACATTACCACTGAGATGCTCCGCTCCGGGTTCCAAGTCGGCAAACGTGCAATTGGATCGGAGACATGCATCCAGCCTTGCCTGTTCAATATGGCTTCCGGAATACTGTCGAAAGATTTCCTAAAGATCCGTTACGAGGTTACCTACAGCCAATGACTTCCTACACTGTTGCTGCTCATCCATTGGTGTGGAGTTATGGTCGGAATCGCTACAAATTCGATTCCTCCATGGAACTGGGAGTAACTAGCGCAAGGCTCATTAACAATAATGTTCCTCCTATAACACTCCAATCTCTCCTGTCTTACCTGGGTCCTTTATAGTAATTGACGATTCCTATTTTATAGTCTTTTAGCCGTAGTTAAGGAGGTCATGTAGTTAGTCTAAAGAGACCAATGGTCGAGTTGTGCAGCTCAATTTTCTCTCACCTGCGCTTCCGTAGTCCATTTAAAAGTAGTTCAAATCATATTTCCACCCTAGTCAAGCCGATAGGCCAGGAAAAATGAGTAAGTGACACTCAAGTTGCCCTTCCCTTACGAGCTGGGATATGGCAAGTCAGAGAGAGAGCATGTTATTGTTCTACCTAATAAGCAGATATTCTGTTGTAGAAGATGCACAGCTCCTTTTTAGTCTTTGTAATCCGTGCTCGCAAGCCCAGAAGTGCGAATTATATCCACTGGCGCAGAAGCCTAATTGAGCAATGAGAGCAAAGACGGACAACTTGGTTGACCTGGTGTCTACGATTGTTCTTCTTTAACGTAAGATATACGGCTGTTCGCCACTTGTCATGATACTTGGCTGCAGATAATGTCTCGTCCTAGTTTGTGGGGGCAGAACAGACAAATGAGAAGGCACCACAGTAGCATACGATTAAAACATACTCAATAATCAATTCAATTAGCCATTGTTTCAAATCATACATGAAGCTTAGCTATTCTTTTCAAGTCTATACATGAGAACTGTCAAAGTCTGCCGCCCTAATTTTCTTTAGTCGACAGCCTTCAACAAGTACTTGTCTTGCCAGAAGCGGCTGTTAGTCGCCGGCGCGTCGCGGCGGACGGATTCAGCACGCTCCTGGAGACGCGAGGCAGCGAGATAGTTTCTGCGCTTGATCTCGGCCTTCTCCGTCACATCCCTCTTGGCAATGCCGCCGTACGCGCACTTACCGCCGTTGAAGGCGGCGTTTGCGGTTGCCTTCCAGACGGCGGTGATGTCGCTGATCATGGGCAGAGTCCAGTAAAGACGGCAGTCGACCTCCTCGCGGATGTACTGCGCGGGAATGCCGTCTTCGACATTGTCCCTCAGGATCTGGTCACGGACGTTGACCGCGGCCGCCGTACTCCGGTTCAGAGGCAGGTCGCTGTAGCGGGCGAAGGCGGCCTTCTGCTCCGCGGTCGTGGCGTAAGGGAGCAGGAAGCTGGTGTAGTCGTAGATGTTGCTCCAGTCTAGGACTTGGGATCCCTTGATACCCCCGACGCCCTCGATGGGGCCCTCGACAGGAAGGCCTCCAAAGGCAACAGATTTGACGCCGCCGCTGAGACGGAGAAACTCTGAAGCAAGAGTGCAGGTCGAGGCACAAACACCATCGTACAGAATGATGATGTTCTCGGCCTCGAAAGGCTGGGGAAGACCGGTGAGGTTTCCGTAGCCGTTGATTTCGATGCCCAGGCCGAAAGTGGCATTGATGGTGGTGAGGGGGTCGTCGAGGTTCCAGCGCATCAGCTCTGTGTAAGAGGTGTTCTGGAAGACTTGCGGCGCGAATTTGGCGTCATACGAGGTGAAAGGTTGGTTCGTGAGGTTGTAGTCGTAGCGCCAGTTGAACCAGCTCTCCGCAAGGCTGATCAAGTCGGCGTTGTTGCTGGTGTAGATGTCAATGCCGGCCACAATGTCAGAGACAATCTCAGCTGCAGCAACGAAGCCGTCGTTTTCCTTCCATCGGGAGTAGCCATCCTGGACCTTGTCGGGGAACAGCTGGCGGAAGAAGTCATAGCCCTGAAGGATGTAGCCACCACCGTTCTGCTGGAAGTCGATGACCAACTTCGTCTTGCCGGCCGCTAGAGCCGCAGTGTAGAAGTCTTGGGTGGCTTTTTGGAATTCGGCTGGGCTTTCGCTCTCGAAGGCTGTGAGAACGATAACAGCAACGTCCTCGAAGCCTTCACCCTCGAGGTAGTATCCGGAGACAATACCATCGTTAGTGGTGACAACTGGGGCAGGGTAGCCAGGTAGGATGGGAGCGGTGGCGTTAGAGGCGATGGTGCCTGCCGCGGTCGTGGACGCAGGGATCAGGGGGTTGCAGAACTTCGCGTAGAAGGACGGGCCATCGACAACGCCCGTAAGATCCTTCTTGACGGTGGCATGGTTCTCGAAAGTAACCTCGGTACCGTTCTCAAAAGTGATGGTGGTGTTGGCTCCTTGGTAGACGTAACTGCCGACCATGTTAGTAAAATTTCAAAGTCGGATGAATTGAAAGTTGCCTTACCGGATACGGCCGCCGGAGCTGAAGTAGCCTTTGCCGACACCAGTAGCTTTTCCAGACATCTCAAAGAACATGGAGTTGTATGCAGAGTTGGCGTCACGGTTCCAGTTGGCTTTATTGACGGTGTCCTCCAAGTACTTGGCAGCGTCAATACCGTTGATGAGCTTGACCACGGACGCAGTCTCGGGTGTCGAGATTACTTCCTCTGGGACAAAGTTAGACCAAAATCTAGGGCAACGAACAAAATCAAGGGCTTACCGTAGATCTTGATCACCGGCAAAGACGAGCCGTCCTCGCTGATGGAAACTAGGCCCCGCTCACGTTTCCATTCAAAGACAGCTGTGAGCAAGTCGGGGTAGTAGACATAATGACCGTCGTGACCGGGTCCAAAAACCTCCTCGTAAATGGCTGCCTGAAAGGCATATTCACCAGGGTAGACGTCGTTCAGTACGTTCTCTCTGATGTTGGAGAGGGCCGCGAAGAGGTCGTAACCTGGGAAATCGTACCCAGCGGGGGGGTCCGCCTTGTACGCGGCATCTATGAGACAAGTCAGCGATCCACAACTTGGAGAAGTCCCTCAGTCCGAATTTCGGGCTTACCAGTCTGCCACTCGAGGTAAGGGAACAGAGAGTCGACAAACTCAATGGCTGCCTCCTTAATGATGGGGACAGAGTTGAGGCAGGCATACGCCAGTTGCGCCGATACCGTCGGCGTAACTACAGAACCACCCACGTCAGCTGGTCCCGAGCAACACGGAGTTCACGCGGGATAACTACCAGTCGGAGCGGCCGCATGCTGGGCAGCCCAAGCAGCAGAGACAGCAGCACAAGGCTCGGAGCCGTTGGTCGGGACCGTGGTGTTGGGGAAGAAGGCGGCCGCGCGATCAGCGGCGCTGACCAGCAGAGCTGGCAGTGCAATTGAGGAGCTCCGCATGTTGGCAAATGAGTCTTCTGCGCAACGACTTGGTCTTGGAGTCGGTCTGGCTGGAAGCTGAAGCTCAAGCTCGATCTCTTGGGCAAGGCCCTGGAAACGCGGCGACGCACTCTTATACTCGAGGTCATTGTAGTCGTCATCCACTTTTCTATCGACCGAGGGCCACGGTCGTTTGCTGGGCCCGGCGATGTCACCATCGCATGTCTATGGGTGTACATCCCAATAGAAAGAGCTTGTTTTGTCCTCACCACCCGCGCCGCTAGCTCAAGAGGGCAGGTCGCGATGCGAGGTTGCTTCACGACTGGGGCCGGCCCCAGTGCTACGATCCATGACAGGCGCACCGCACAGGTTGCATACGGACAACCGTCATTTATTTCCGACTTGTTTACCTGCGCACACAAAAACCAGGCTGGGGTCTCGGATGGATGCGTAGGTCTGGCCGCCCGCGACCTTTTGTCCCGGAAGATCGGCGGTTCGTCTTATCTTGTAAATTATGAGGCAATCTCTGGTCGTAACCGTTGGACGGTTAGACCGCTGTTGGTTGGCGTTGGATCTTGTCGCTCTAGCCTGCGTTGCAGGGATCGGTTGAAGAACACCTGCTAAAGGCGGGTTAGCCCGGGAGACAGGAGCCCCAGTCTACGGCAAGGAAATGCCGCTTTACAGTGGTATCGCATTTCATTGCCGACAGGCTTCGTCATGCCATCAAGGCGCCCCTAGGTAGTGACTCGGGCCGGAAGATTGCAATCATGCCGACTGGCCTAGAATCGTACGGGTTCTGGTAAAGGTCATCTCAATTGAAGGGCCGTAAATCTTCAAACAGCTCGACTTGCTTCCAGATTCGATTGAAGACGCTTACTTTTGTTTGCTATGCGACTTTGACCTGTAAATGGTAGGAAAAGGCTGCGCACTAGCACAATAACTAATCACAGAATGGGCAGACCTCAAAGACACATGGGTGTAGTGACATCGTGTTTCCCATCCCCTTGGGTGCTAATGGACCTCACATTTGCCAAGGGCGGGGTAGACCAGGTAGATCCATTTATGAGCATTTTCATCCCATCGAAGAATCAAGAAATAAAGTTTCTGGAGTAGATAAGGGTAGGTACTGATCAGTAGATTCTCGGACTTGGCATAGATGAGGTCCATTAGCACCTGATGGGATAGTTTTAACAACTCCTTCCTACCGTCAAAAGACAACATCGATTCTTTGATCCAGGTTCTCCGTCTGATTCACAGGTGAGGGTTTGCCATCAATGGGTGCCCCGTGCACCTCGTTGTTGAATGCAGGGGTGTGTGGCCCTCTCCGGATTATCATCTCAATCGGTATCTATTCCTGCATAAATTGTAGAAAGTCGGCAAGAACCAAAAAGAAGAAATCCTGATGTGAGCTTTTGAGTCAATCATTTGGTATTGAAGTTTTTCTTTTCTTCCGATCTTCTTCCTCTTCTCTGCTTATCCCAGCTGTTCCTCACCAACCTACTCCTTCCAGTCTCCTATGGAAATCAAAGCACATCAATGACAGTCTATGTTACAGCCATAGCCTAGCGTTTACATAGAGGCTAAGAAGCATTGTTCAAACCATAGTGTTATTGTTTCCTTGCATTTCTATGACCCGTATTCTTTTAAGGATATTACTATTCATGGTTGGCCTTTGCTACAATGTGCACCCATTCTAAAGCAGACTAAGGCCAACGCATACAACAATACGTTGAATGAAGTCGTTCAGTTTGGAAAAGAGTTCGCCTCAATCAAAGCTACCCATTGCGAAGTCAGTTTTACGTGTGTCACGTGGCCCACGAGCTCGAGAATAAAGAAAGTTTTCAAGGAAGACTAGAACTCAAAAAGCGATCTTCAAGGCCCAAAAGCTTAATAATAATAAAAAGATGAACTCCGCAGCTCTGGTATGAATCCTGCTACTGGTATGAAGACTTGTATGCTAAACGGCTCGCTTTTCCTCCGTCCTAACGCCATAAACTCCCTAAGAAATTGTAACCATTCGTAGAATCATGGGCAGTGTGTGGTCATCAGTCCCTTCCTGCCATGGAATTTACCGTTCCACTACTGAGAGGGATCGGCCTTGGGAACGCTAGGCAGCTCTGCAGCAATGGCCTTAGCCTCCTCGGCCTGCTCTTTGGATGGTCCGTCCTCGGTCTCCTGAGGAGCGGGTTGGTCGGTCGGAGGGAAGAAAATCCTGAACAGCAAGTCAGTATTGCGCAGCACTGGCAAGATGGATGGGAAGATCAAAGTTGCACGTACGGGAGGGTATCGTTGTAGGCATTGACATCCTTCATCTCAAAGGTGCAGAAAACGATCTTTTCCAGCTTCTTGCCGTCCTCTCCGTCGAGAAAATCTCGGACAACCTCCGCGGCGACGGGCGCCGCCTCGCGGCTAGGGTACCCGTAGACTCCGGTGCTGATGGCGCTGAAGGCGATGCTGCGGCAACCGTTCTGGACGGCAAGGGCCAAGCTTGTCCTGTAGCAACCCTCCAGCTTCGCCTGGGAAGATTCCGGGTCGAGCTCGTCATAGACAGGGCCGACAGTGTGGATGACCTTTTTGCAAGGGAGGTTGTAAGCGCCTGTGATCTTGGCGGAGCCGGTGGCGCAACCATTCAAGGTTCTGCACTCTTGAAGCAGGCCGCGACCAGCGGCACGGTGGATGGCGCCGTCGACGCCGCCGCCGCCGAGAAGGCTTGTGTTAGCGGCATTGACAATGGCATCGACGCCGAGTCTCGTGATGTCGCCTCGAATGACGGCGACCTTCTGGTTGTGCGACGGGCTGGGAGGGTAGAGGGGCTGCGGGGACGCAGTAAGCTTGCCGAGCTTGTAGAGAAGCTCAACGGTGGGGATGTCGGCGGCAGCAATGGTAGCCATTTTCAGGACTTGTCGAATTGGCATAGGCGGCTTTGGGGCTTGCGTATTCGAGTTTGGATTCGGAACAGGTTGGGGATCTGTGGTCGAGTTGGTGGGCTTCGGCGCAGGTTGGTTTTTGAGGCGTTGGAGACACAAAGAAGCACTCGACCGAAAGCAGAAGAAGTGGAAGCTCGCTCATGACGAAAGACCCCGCGCTAAAATTAGGTACAGGTAGGTAGGTCCTGGCTGAGCTTGAGCTTTGGCTTGTCGAGTCTTATCGGAGCCTTATCGGGCGTTTTGCAGGTGACATTCCTTGTTCAGACGATTGTATTGCTTGCTCAAGGCTTTTAGAATGGATGCAGGGGCTGGGCTTAATGAGCAAAGAACAAAAACAAAGGACTTTCAATTTTTATAAATTCGCTCTCGCTTGGCGGCTATTTCAACTAGAAATTTTGCCAACCATGGTTGGTAATTCAATGTTATCCAGAAGCCTCGAAACACGGCAGCGGTGACAATGAGGTAGGTATCTTATCGGAGAGACGACGGATACGGTCATTATCTTATCTGGCGATATTCTTATCTAATCAGCTGCCAATGCCCCTTTGTCGCGTGTTGCAGGCGGGCGGTCGCTGTGACCCCTCGTTGGATCCATTTGAGTCATCCCCGCCGTAAAAGAAGTGTTGCCCCGCCACCACAACCACACATTTTCCACGCCTTGAGCCTCTTGTGGTACCCAATTGACCGACTCTCGAGCATCACGCGACGAAACAATACCCAGGAATACTCGAGAACATTGTCCGTCCCCTCCCTTCACCCGGTCGAACACAGAAACCATGGCGGACGCTTCAGCAGATCCCACTGCTAAGCTGGCCGAATCGACGGCCAAGCTCCAGCTTGATGAGGAGACGGGGGAGATGGTCAGCAAGGGCGAGCTCAAGAAGAGAATGGCGAAGCGGGCGAAGAAGGCTGCTGCGGAGAAGGCAAAGGCTGCCAAGGATGCTGTCGCCAAGGCTGCAGGTGCAGGCGATAGCACTCCCGCGCCCAAGCCCAAGGCGAAGCCCGAGGAGGTTGTCCTGGACCCGGAGGCCATGTTCAAGCAGGGCTTCCTCCAGGAGGTGTACAAGGAGAGGCCGTCCGAGCATGTTGTCACACGATTCCCTCCCGAGCCCAACGGATAGTATGTTCTCGGCCAGTCTTATCATGGTCGCATCACTAACAGTCTCCCAGTTTGCACATTGGCCATGCCAAGGCCATTGCTGTCAACTTTGGGTTTGCAAAGTACCACGGCGGCGTCTGCTACCTGAGGTATGACGACACGAACCCCGAGAAGGAAGAGGAGAGATACTTCACCGCGATTGAGGAGATGGTCAGGTGGTTGGGTTTTACCCCCTACAAGATCACCTATTCCAGCGACAATTTCCAGAAGCTGTACGACCTAGCAGAGAAGATGATCACTCTGGAGAAGGCCTATGTCTGCTACTGTGGAGGTACGCCACCAATGAGTCCGAAGCTGTCTTCAAATGCTGACCACCTTAACTCCACCAGACGCCGAGATCAAGCTGCAGCGTGGCGGCGAGAAGGGCGCCACCCCCCGATTCCGATGCGAGCACGCGAACCACACCGTCGACGAGAACCTTCAGAAGTTTAGGGATATGAGAGACGGCAAGTACAAGCCTAGGGAGGCTTTCCTGCGTATGAAGCAGGACATCACGGACGGCAACCCCCAGATGTGGGACTTGGCAGCATACCGCATCAAGACCGACACGCCGCACCACCGCACCGGCTGGGACTGGAAGATTTACCCCACATACGACTTCACGCACTGCCTGTGTGATAGCTTCGAGGGCATCACACATTCTCTGTGCACGACCGAGTTCGTCCAGAGCCGTGTCTCCTACGAGTGGCTAAACAAGACTCTTGGCGTCTACGAGCCCATGCAGCGCGAATACGGCCGCCTGGGTATCACCGGCACCGTGCTGTCCAAGAGAAAGATTCTTAAGCTGGTCGAGGAGAAGATTGTCCGCGGCTGGGACGATCCCCGTCTGTACACGCTCATCGGCATCAAGCGCCGCGGTGTGCCTCCTCGCGCTATTCTGGACTTCGTCAACGAGCTGGGTGTCACCACCTCCGTCTCCGTCATCCAGATCAAGCGCTTCGAGCAGACCGTGCGCAAGTACCTCGAGCGTACGGTTCCTAGGCTGATGATGGTTCTGGACCCCATTCCCGTCGTCGTCGAGGACGCCGAGCCCACTGACGTCGAGCTGGCTTTCTCTCCCAAGGACCCCAATATGGGATCGCACACCATCAAGTTCACGCCCACCGTCTACATCGATCGTGCCGACTTCAGAGAGGTGGACAGCAAGGACTACTTCCGCCTTGCCCCCAACAAGACTGTCGGTCTGCTCAACGCTCCCTTCCCCATCAAGGCCACCTCCTACACCAAGGACGAGGCCACCGGAAAGGTTACCGAAATCCGTGCCGTCTTCGATAAGGAGACGAAGAAGCCCAAGGCCTACATCAACTGGGTCGGCACCGAGGGAACCAAGAAGGTTGAAGCCCGCATCCACAACTCGCTGTTCAAGAGCGAGAAGCCCGACGATGCCGAAGGCGGCTTTCTCAACGACATCAACCCGGAGAGCGAGGTCATCTACCCCGACGCGCTCATCGAGAGCGGCTTCGACGAGGTCAAGCGCCGCGCGCCTTGGCCCGAGGCTGCTGGCGAGAGCGAGCTGGGCAAGGGCGGACCGGAGAGCGTGCGCTTCCAGGCGACTCGCATCGCCTACTTTGTGAGTCGCTCACGCACGGAAAAGTCTAAGACACAAGCTAACGTGCGTTTAGGCCATGGATTCCGACAGCACCGACGACAAGATCATCCTCAACCGTATCGTGTCGCTGAAGGAGGATGCTGGAAAGGTTTGAGGCACTGTGACAAGGTCGGGCGAAAGGTTAAACGAAAAGTCGGGCTGAGAGTTGGCGGTTGGGAGCTTTCGGAGTTGCATAGACGGGGGGTTCATAATACCAAAACAAATCCCATAGAAGGTGGTGAACGAGAGTCAGTCTTTTTTTTTCATGGTCCCAAACCTTTCCCAAGTGATTCACTGCGATCTCGACCAAACCGCTATAGCATCTCTCTTGTTGCCGTCTTGCACTGCTATTCTTCACCACACTGCTCACGAACGAACGGAGGCACGTTCGACGCAAAATGAAGGTATTCCATAGTCTTCAATCTCTGGCGGCCATTGTGGCCATGGGCACAACATGCCTCGCAATGCCCGAACCCGCACACACGAAAAGGATAGCAGAAGGTGCTCGGGATCCGTGGCATTCAGCATGGAATGAACCTATCGCCCACATGACGGGCTACGAAGTCGGCAGCCCTGCGCTACCTGGGCGCACCCTAGACGCAAACGATCCCGAGACCTGCCCCAGGGACACAGGTAAGTCATAACCCGGACACCTTGCCTAATGCCCACCCCCCCAGAGCACCACTTGGCCGCCGTATACTGACTGCTTCAACAAAGTCGCCTGCCACCTCCCGCGCAATTGGAACTGCTGCCCCACGTCGATGCCCTGCTGCGGCCCGGGGTGCTGCGCCGAGGGCTTCCACTGCGTCGACGCGCGGGTGGGCATGTGCTGCTCCAAGGGCAAGAGGCTCTGCAACGGCGTCTGTGTTGAAGGAGGCTGTTGTGGCCCGACGGGGGCGTGCGGAAGGGGAGAAAGATGCTGCGGTGGGGAGTGCGTCAGGCGCTGCCGTGGCGTCTTTGTTTGGAGGGGGTAGCTGGTAGAGTGCAGAGTGCCGGCGGTGGTGGATGGTGGCCTTTGGTTGTGATGCTTCTGGCGGTTCTGGTGAATACTGCGTGATGGACGAGGTCGCTTTAACCTCGTGGCTGGTGCGAGGGAGCCCCTGGATTTGGACTACGAATGGGGTGCCAGGGGTGTTGCATAGCAGCGTCGTGAAGGGATGCAGTTAGAGAGTGAAGCAGAAAGATGAATGCAATGAGAGAAAAGTTGACGAGATAAGGAACACGTAACTGGACAAGCAATGATGGTTCAAACTGTTTGTAGGAATTCATTAGTGATCAAGGTCAAGCCGTAGCCTGGGTGAATACTTTCTTTTGGGACCATTACTCGTACCGTTGACGGTGTCTTTGAAGCCCTGGATGTCGACAGCCCAGGCCATCTTTGAAAACTCAGAGTCTCGGTCTGGAGTCCAACGCAATCCCTCTAGGGGCGCCGGTCTCAAAATCTATTCTTCATCATCGTTTCCGCAAGAGCTGACAGGGAGTTCCAAATGTGCAATGGTGCCTGACGGGGAAGCAATCCGTGTACCGAAGGGGAGATGCCAACCGCTGTCCCTTGGTCAAGCCAGATGTCCTCCTACCCCTTTCCAATGAAACCAGCATACTTCATTCCTTCCGCTTGATCATGGAAATGCCCCCTTACAAGTGATGGTATCGCGAAGCGTCCTCAGCACGGTATCTCGTATATCCCCGAAGAAGAGAATCGTTTCGGCAGGCTGCTGGCAAACTGATGCTTGATAATATCAAGCGTCTGAGGGGTCCTTTCTTTTGGGTTGGCACACGCGAGAACTCTTTATGGCTTTTGTACTGCTTCCGAGATGTCTACAGGTTCCACTCTATGGGGTTGCTGTTGGTACCAAAAGGCAGGGCTGAGTTTTGACTTTATACACAGCTTGGTTGCTCGGTGTGCAACAGCTGACTGTGGATGGCTAACGTGGATGGATGGCCTGGATCATAGGTGCCTCGAACCCAAACGGAAGAACTCGCAACGTCTAGACCACCGGAACTAGCTTGGCCAACTGCCCCTCGTATAGTGGCAGACGCAAGAAGGGACAGGCTTCTGCGTTTCTATAGTCGGAGCGTCAGTCTGTGCCTGCTTCTCGGAAAGATTCTATGACACTGTCCACGACACTCGTCGTTCGGCGGTGATGATTCAAGCATATGCCAGAAAGGTGCTCCTAGGGGTTCCATGCAAGTACAACCCAGAGTTCCCATCCAGTTCAGTGTCCCGCTGGGTTTGATTGCGTAGATGCCTGGCTCACCCTTCTGGCGCGACATTTAATACGGCGGGTGCTCCGGGTGCCCCGGCCGCACCCGAGGGACATGGTAGTGCTGCGAGCGGCGATGTGCGCCTCGGATCCATATGTAGGGACGACCACAGTGACTGGGTTAGCCACGACAAAGGGAAGAAGGTGCTCAGACGAACATTCTTTAGCGAGGGCCAGTGAGCGGATCTCTGATGATTATACACCGAGCGAATCTTTCTTGCCTATTCGTTGAGAGATGACACATCCAGCTGCATACCTCTGGAAACAGTCTGTGCCTGCGGATATTTATCGGGAACAGGGATCTCGTCTGTTTTCTGACGTTGGGTAAGCTGCTCATCGGCTCATTTCGTAGCTTTCATCCGGGGATTTCTCTTCACACCGCAATGTCGTTGTATCCATCACGAACTAGGTGATGTATACGGCGGCCTGAAGGCCGAGAAGGAAGAGGTTGAAACAATTTCCCGTCTCTCGGAAATCCCACTTCTTGTCGTTTCCTGTGCGTATGAAAACGATTATGGGAATTCTGGGTTTTTCTAATAAATGCCATCCTTGGGTAGGTGTTTCACTCAACAATGTGTCAAGCTTGGGTATACGTAACCATACCAGGCTGCGGTGATGCCCATCAAGCAGTCAAATCGTCATCGACAGGTGTCTGAGGCCGAAGCTGCCACCACCAGTTCAGCAGCAATTTGTTCGCAATTCTCGTGAACCTTGAGCAGATTGCGACCACTGGGCGTCACATCCCTCAGCCGAAGTGGTGAGACGTATTCCTTCCACGACTCGGCGTGGCTTTTGTACTTACCCCTGCCACCACAGTGGGAGTCAGGGATCCCGTGGTTCCCGGCCCAGGGCGTTCCCTACCAGGGCGTCTCCATAATTGCTATGTAGGCTTCTGCCTAGCTGCAACGTTCCTAGAGGCGAGCAGGCCGCGATCATTTGAAGACCGAAGGCTCAGAGTTCGGGCACATGCTGTCAGGCCACCAGCAACCGTCGAAACGCCGCGCGGGTGACGACACGGCCGAGAGAAGTCCCCAATTCCATGGCCTTGGGTGTGCGGAGTCCAATGGGAACCAGTCTGCACGAACCTGTGCGGCGGCACGTTGGGGGTCGGCCCAAACGGAGGACAAACTTTTCTGCGAAAAAGAAAAAAAAAGTAAAGTCCAGGAGAATGGCCGAACGACTTGCGACAGCGGGGAACGCGCGTGCAGATGCAGTGCCGACCAGGTAGGGCCGCTGGCTCGCGGCGGCGTTTGATAGGGACAAGGGAATGATTGAGAGTTCGCAAGGGACAGACTTTTGGGCAGTTGCTGCTCATCCCATCGGCAATCTATTCGGAGGGGTGGGGGGAGAGGAGGAGAGGAGAGGAGAAGACAATGTTGATAAAAACAAAGGGTCTTCGGACGGCGGTGTCCTGGGTCTCGACAAGCATCCTCCGGCTCGCAGTGAGGCATGGCCGTGGCCGTGACCGGCGCCCTCCGCGGCGACTCGTACGTACACGAAGAGACGGCCGGTCGGATAACCTTAATCGGAGGCCGGACTGCGCGTGGGCACGTGCTCCGTCTCCCGCAGGCAGCGAGGCGGGCGCATCCTGGGTTGCAGGGCGCCCGATAAGGCAAAGAAGCGGGCCACTGAGGCTACAGTTCATACGACAGGGGGCAATAGTACCACCGGTACGTATGTGCTATATAGTACACTTTTGTCGTGGCCGGGCCAATGAATGACGACAGCGGGCATGGAGACAAGACTCTGTGCGGGTGGGGATTGGTGGGATTCCGCGGCGCGCCCCTTGCATGGATGAGCGAGGTCGCACCACACCCATGGAGAAGAAGGGAAGAAGAAGGGGAAACGAAGAAAAAATAAAATAAAATAGATAATGCGTGTTCTTCTGAAAAATCCCCCTTCCTGCCGCAAACCCGATGCCCCGGTAGCCTTTGCCTGGAACATGCAAACTGTCATCTGAGGTGAAGCCGCCCCAGTCGATATACTTTGTCTAATTGGCCTCCCTCCCCTCAAGCATCGCATCGACCGAGTCGTGCTTGCTGTTGGTCTGCCTCGTTTCCGTCGATTGAGTTGGTCATACAGGAACCGTAAAATGACGGGCCAGAGAGACGTTCCACAGGACCCTGGCCGTGACATGATGCCGCAATCCCCCCCCCCCCCCCCCTCCTCGTACGCCTCGCTCCCCTGTCGAGGGTGGTTGCTCTCGACTGCGGCGTCACGGCGGGGGGGGCAGCACGCCCGGCTAGGCAGGCAGCGTATGCGAAAAGCCCAGATGCGTCCTAGTTTCGACAACAGCGGCAGCGATTAAGTGGGCAAAAGCACGCAAGGAAGCGGGCGGGCGGGCTGCCAGTGGTTTTGTTGGTGGTCCCTGGCGATGTAATGTAACGGTTCGAGGGGTTTTTGTTTGCCTTCGTACCTTAATTAAACCGGTGCTTACTACGCCGCGGCAGGCAGCCGTCTCTGTGCCTGTGCCTGTGCCTGTGCCTGTGTCTTGCCTCATTCTCTCATTGTCTCTCACACATTCGACACGAGCTCCCTCGTCTCTCATTAGCATTAGGTACTCTAGTCTCTGTCTAGCTGTTTCGCGCCGTATCGTGTCATGACCGTCTCTCTTGTGCGCTCTCACTCTCCCTGTCTCCCTCGGGTCCCCCGTCTGTCCCATCCTCCTCTCATCCTCGAGGCCGCGGTGCCTCGTCGCCGATATTGGAGTCTCCCTCCCTTTCTTGGCTCTTTCCTTCTTGCCGTGCCAATCCTTCCCATCGCGGGCCCATTTGTGTCTCTTTGTGTGTCTTGGCTTAGACTAGCCTCTCTTCTCCTCGCTTGCGCTGACCTGCGCCGGCAAACCTGCACTACCTAGACTAGCAGTCCGTTCCTTCCCCTCTTCTGCAGCTCCGTGACTTCTCTCTTGACCTTTTCCCTCCTTCTACGTCCGTGAATTTTTTTTCCGCAAACTTGCTCCTCTACCCATCCGTCCATTCCTCCACTGCCCGTGTCTTGGCCCAAGTCGCAGACTGGCGGATTGCGCGTACTTTCATCGCAATTCGGCAACGTCAAGTTTCTCTCCGACAGCGATCCCCCCAACACCTCGACATCGTTCGGATCCCATCTCGCTGGACTGCCGCCCCCCCCCCCCCCCCCCAAAACGCGAGAAACTCTCGAGCATACCAATCCCTCCAGCGATCATCCTCCCCGTCCCCCCTTACCACGCTCCCTCCCTCGCCCGTCTAGTGTCACCAGACGGACAGAAGGCCGGTCGGTGGTGTTTCTACATCGTCGACAACAGAAGGGCATTTGTACTCCGCAAGGCTTAGTCGAAGAGGTCGCATCCCGGCCGCGACCACCACCACCCCCCCCTCCACGCGTCCCCCGTCGTCTTCGCCTGCGGTGCCTGCTCATCTCGCACCCTTCTCGACGGCGATATCCCCGGCAGCGCCACACTTTAAGCTCAGGACGCTGCGACGCTCCCCCCTCTCCCCTCCGCAGCGACCACCGCCCAGCCCCGGCGTCTCGTCTCTCAACCACCAGCGCTCGCTCTCGACCCCCGGCGGGCCTTTGGCACCCGTGGGTGTTTGCAACGGCCGCCGTGATAGCCAGAAAAATTACAGCCTGGTCAGCCTGCAGTGCGTGCTACCGTCTCCCTGGCCCGCCTGCCCGCCCTGGTCTGGTCCTGCAACCCCCGGCGATCCGCACCCGCCCCGGGCCTGTTGCTGCTTTGGTTGGTCGCAGTCGAGCTGCTTGCCGCCTTGTGTCTAGTGTCTGTCGTGGAGCATTAGCGAAGAGGGTCCCCAATAATACAAAAAGCCCATTTAGGTAGCAGCTATGCCGCCTCCGTCAGTCGCTTCGCCGCCCCCAATCCTAGCCATCACGGCTACTTATTTCCAGCTGCTGGCCCAACATTTACCCCGACCCGTCTACGAAGCCCTCCGCAAGACTCATCATCACATCGCCCGCTTCTCCACCGCCGTCCTCTCCTCCGCCATCGTCGTCCGCGCGCACTCGCTCATTCCCCACAAGATGCGCCGCCCTCTGGGTTTTTCGGCGCTTCTCGTCGTGCTGTTCCTCATCATCGGCCTGCCCGTCATCCTCGCCCAGAGCGAACCCTTCCACTGCTACCCCTACCCGTCCACCGACACCCTCGCGAGTCCCTTCATCACGCTGCAGCCGCACTGCTGCAAGGGCCCCATTGACAACAAGCTGAGAGTCGGGAACCAGTGCGAACCGGCCAACGGAGGGGTATACAAGACCAAGTTCGGCCAGGACTTGGGGACCTGTGCGACGGGCTGGGTCGACGCATGCTGTATGCGGTTGGTACGTCCATATCCACGTTCATGCAGCCAATCTGTTGGCTGACTTTACTGACCATGTGCCCAGCATTACCCGCCCGAGATTGAGCGGCCAGACATGTCATATTGCGATGCCGCCTTCCTCGTCAAGGCCGAATCCAAGAACATTATCCACGCGCGAAGCTGGTCCCCCGCGAGATACGGTAGATGATGGCAAACGGCGCAGGACAGAGACATCAGAAGAAACAGCACAGACGAAACAACATGTGGGCTTCCAGCTCGATCATGTCCGGCAGCGGCGGGGTTAGGCGCGGCGCAACACAGCGATGCCCACCGCTACCCACGAGGGACCCGGAATCTGCAGCGAATCGACCGAGTCAGGGAGTCTCCACCAGAGCTACGGCCTGGGGAGAGGAGGGGAGAAGCCTCGACCAGCCAGCAGACCCGAGAGACCGCCCTGCGCTGTTTGGAAATCGGAACGATACCACCTTGCGAACTGCAAACAACCGGCGAAACAAGAAAGGCATTTGGGCGTCTTTTTTTAATACGCACGACGAGTACGTTATGATGGCACGACGGCTACGGCTCGCCCTTGTTTGAAACAAACCAGGGCATTCGCATTATATATACCCACTGCGACTGATTTTTCACTCATGAATTGCATCTTATCTTGCACGACAACAAACCGAGCAGGACTTTTGTGTTCTTTTATTTTTTTTAGACGAGTCGCCGGATGAGAGGAACAGGAGCAGGATCAGGAGGAAACAAAACAGACGACCCGCTGGCATTGGCCGTGGGTCACGAGGCATGGATGAAGAGGGGGTTAACTTTCCATGTACGTGTGCCTGTGTGTGTGTATTATTAGGAGTGTCGCAAGGTTGTCTGTCAATCCGATCTCTGCGTCGCAAAGAGGGTTCAGTCCTCATCGGTTCTCATCGGACATGATCGACGCTTTTCCACATGATCTAGGTGTCGAGGTGCCTATCCTTTCTCCGATGTATGGTTTGGTGGCCGTGGCAGCGCACCGAGCAACTGAGCACTTGAGGGCATAGGGGGATGGATAGTATGACGACGAATCGTCGCGGCGTACCCTTCCCAAGCCTCCCGCCACTCCAGCGGACATGCACAAGGCCCAAGCCGTCGAAAGTGGCCTGACCATGGCCATTCTCCACGCCCGACTGAACTCTCTCCTCGCGTTCGGGATGCACGGGTCACTCCGCGGGGTGAGAGAGGACGAGAAGGAGGAGGGTGGCAACTAAATCATCCGGCCAGCCAAGCAGTCAGCCCTGCAGACACGGGACCAATGCAGCGGATAAGCGAGCCATGCCGTTGACTGTTGGGAACCGACCATTAAGGAGTGGGAAACGCGAACGCAAGCTGCGCTTTTTAGAGCCAAGGCCAGACAGGACATGGCGGCCAGAAAAATAAACACCCGCATCATGCAGAGGAGTGGGAGAGCCCGCCCCCAGAACGCAAGCCTTTGTAGGTTTCGCTCGGCTCAGGGGTTCTTTCGACAGCGGCCGTGAGCTTTTTGTCTGGCTCTGAACCGTCTGGTTGGCGGGAGGATGATGATGGGAATCCCCATTGGAGGAAGGGCGGGATGGGTTTCGTGCAAGTCATTCGGGGACGAAGCCGCGAAGCCGAGATAAAAATGCGATCCCGGGCTTCTGGAGAACGAACAAAGCGATGCCCTGCATACGCCAGTTTCCAAGAGAATCGCGAATCCAATCATATTTGCATCGCGTCTTCTTCTTACAAAACCATGTTGTGCGTGTTTCGTTTTATTTTTATCCTGCCTTTCTGCTGCGGGTTCTACCAGCATGTAGGCTGTTCCGTTAGCCTGGCAGACTCGGGATGCCAGCCATGCGGCTCCTACAGTTGGTTATTCTGCCCTTTTCATCCTTTGATGCTGCACGGCTTCTGCTCTCTCCTTAGCACGAGTTGATGTAAGCTTTTCTTTAGGTCCCGCGGCACAGATGGGTTCTGCCCGATAGTGGGGCATCGGATTAACTGGGTACGTATTGGCCGACCCCCGATGGGACGTTGGGAGCTCATCTCCTGGAAGAGTCTCTGCCGTTTCACCTCGTCTTTTCGGGACACCTCACGCTGCGCGAGACCGAACTTCGACTTTGTTCAGTCCAAACTCCCGGATCCTCTACGACCACGGTGAGAGCCCCTCCTCGTGGCCCAGGTCTCGATTGACCTTGCGACTCTACGCAGTAAGTGGGTGGCCACCCAGAAGAGCTCGGCGAATCCCATGGCCAAGTGGTCTTTTTACGCTCGTCTGCACCTCCCTGCTAGCCGCAGATCTCTCTCCACGTTTCTCCCTTCTTCAAAGTTCGTTCGCAGAGGGCCCCGCAAGACCAGGCCAGGCCAGTCTGTTCCCCAACTGCGGTGCGACGCAGCCCGCCCAGGAGAGTCTACACTAGTGTAGTGTAGGGAGCAGAAGGGACGCCAGCGACGAAAATGACCAGACAAGCACACCTCGAAACCGGGGTCTGTGACATTCTGTCACACAGCCGCCACACGCGGCAGTTTCAGCCCGCCCAATCAGGACCAATGGCTCAACCTGGCGTGCAATCTCCCGTCGTCTTGGGCAGCAGCCAGCCTCCATCCGAGTCTCGACGTCTAGTCCGTTGCCAGCCTCGTTCGCGAGGGGCCCGACCAACCTGTTTCTGAAACTGGCCCGCTGCCTCTGCGCGACTGGCGACACTGGCCGTGCTGAAGTTTCTTTTCCCGTTCATTGGCTCCCCAGCCTGCCTCCCTGCGCCAAGCAACGAACTCTTGTCTGTTGGGACGACAATGACACCCCCAGGATCGCCGAGGTGGCAGAAGACAATCCGACACAAGACAGCTCTCGTCAGGATCTTTTTGGCAGCGACGGCGTAGCATCCGGCGCACAAGTCGGCCACGCCAGACGACTCTCTCCCCCCACTTGACCTATCCGAGGGTTCCTGAACTCCTTCCTCTTATATCATACCTGCACCTGTGATCGTCCGCGGGGTGGGAGCAAGGCCCTTCCTTTCTTTACCCCCTTCTGAGTCCCCCGGGATCGGGATTTCTTTTTCCTTGTTCTTAGAATCGTTCTTATCTGAACTGTGTATTGTTTTGCATCACCCTGGGCTGGTTCCAGTCAACGGCCGACAGACAACGACGAACAATCCCATCCCGCCGGATTCCTCAAACGCCAGTCATTCATGCGAGCTGCGCATCTGCAAAAGTGACAAGCATAGGCGATATTTCTCCACCGCCGACTGGTGCAACGTCTTGTGCCAGCCAGTCTGCCAAACTTGTTGCCACCCCTCGCCCATCTGGCTCCCACCAACCTTCCAACCTGTTTCTCCGCTCTTTTTTTTCGGTCCCTTTGGCTCAATCTACTCGCAACAAGCGCGTTCTTGTTGCTTAATCTTATCTAGAGGATCGACGAACACCCCGACCTAGACCTTCGTTTCCTCCCGCTCAGAGGGTCTGGAAGAAACAAAACACCAGACCGTCACGTAATCGCACGCAAACACTACAGGCCCCCTGGCACGACGATGAACCTCAGTTGACGGCAGACCTTCTCCCCCCCCCTCCTCCCTCTTCCGACCGGACTTGTCCGTCGCTCGAGACGACGATTCTCTCCCGCTTGCCCACACGCCTCTGATCAATGGCATCTGAGGCCAGGGCCAGGGCAAACGTGCCCCGTCGAGTGGTGAAGCAGACCACGGATGGTATGGACTCCTACCATCGATACGTTGCCGAATCGACCACGCCGTCGCCGTCACCGCCGACATCACAAAGCGACCTAAGTGCGAGGCCCTACGCCGGCCACTCCCGATCCTTTAGCACACCCCGCCCTTCGATATTAGACCAGTCTTCTTCGGCGAGTAACAGCGATGCCGGATCGCCAGGGCAGACAAAGGTGCCCGAGATCACGGTGACGAGTCCCGGGAAGCCGTATACGGCCGCTCCGCGCTATTCTTTAACACCCCGGCAAGCAACATTTCCTCCGCTAGTGGCACAGAGGTTGGCCGTTCCGGCGGTGAGGCCCCCTCCGCCGGTGCAGCAGTTACTATCCGCACAGAGGATCCAACGGATTAAGCCACCGCTGGCGCCAATACCACCGACCACGGCCTCCTCCTCCGACTCTCGAAAACGCGATGGACTGGTTGACGTTGCACTGCCATATCGGCCGTTCTACCTGCAAAGAAGGGTTCTCAGTTCGTTTGCGGTCCTCTTTGCCGGACTTTTGGTCGCAGTGGAGGCGGTGTTGGACTTGTCGAATAAAAGAGGTGGGCTCGGTTCGCCCGATCACGGGTTCAGATACTTGTGGCAGTACGGCTCGGCCTTTATCTTCACCTGCATCGCCGCCCTCTGGGCGAGACCTGAACACCAAGCCAGGGCAAGCGCACCGTGGCTGCGGATGGCCAAGGGGCCTGCGAGCGTGGATCGGACTCTGATGCTCGACTACGTCTTCATGTTCGAGCCCGGAACGATCATGGTGGCGGCGAGGAACCGGGACTGGCTTGTTGCGGCGACAGCCACCGTTGGCTTGACGCTGAAGCTCATTGTCGTCATTGCCGTGGCCCTCGTCAGCCCGACCTTCCAGATTGTAACGGCTCGAGGGGCGGGGCTGAGCCTGCACAACAAGTTTGTGAACGATCCTACCGGTCTGCAGAACGCCGGGGCGCTGCCCTTCTTCACCATGCTTGGGTTGCAAACGAAGGGCCTGAACTTTCCGGACGGCACCTCGAAGCAGTTCGCCTTCCAGTCCTTCTCGGCGGATTTGCCTGCCACTGCCGAGCTGCAGACCAACGTCGACGGCTTCGAATCCGACATTGAATGCGAGCCTGCCCAGTTCAACATGACCGGGCTCCAGTTCATCCAGGTGTCAGACGTTCAGATCAATGCTACCGTGTCGACCCCGACCTGCTCCATGACCCAGACGATACCAAACTTGGCACTCTTGAACGCCACCCTGCCCACCTTTTTCATGGCCTTTCAAGCCGGCACTTGCGGGAATTCGTCCTCCCCTGACGACGGACGGGTTGTTGTCATGACCGGGGCCATCGCCATCAACCAGGCCTCCGTTCCCACCCGGAGCGGCATCCTCAACGTGCCCATTGCCGGTGTCGTCCCGCAGTCTGCGGCTCTCATCTGCCGCCCGTCGTACTTTCTGACCAGGGTTCACGTCACCAAGAACAACACCCAACTTATCAGCATCGAACGGAACCGCTCGGCCAGTAACAAGACGCTCGACAAGGTCCACCCGTGGGACATTGTGCAGGGGCACTTCAACTCGTACCCGACCGATTCGCAGATCCTAGGCGCGATGCCCAGTGTCAACAGCCGGTTCCCCGGTATCGCGGTTGTCGCGTCCGACCACGTCATGGACTCGGCCGTCGCGATGGAGGTCAAGGACCACGGCGTGCCTCCGATCGAAACCTTCTTGAACACGGACAACCTGACGCAGATATCGACGGCGTACTGGCGACAGTACACGGCGCTCGTCGGGCGCAACTCGTTGATGGGGGAGACGCAGGAGAAGTCTACCGGCACGGCCGTCATCATCGGCGAACGCCTCAACGTCCGCCCGATTCCTGCTCACCTCTTGTCTGGGCTTCTCGGTCTCGTTCTCGTTCTTGTGCTGGCCGCGGTTGCCGTTGCGCCGGCAAAGGGCTTCCTCCCCCGCGACCCGAACACCATCATCAACATGGCCACTCTCCTTGCCCACAGCCGCCAGCTTCTTCAGTGCCTGCGCGGCACGGGTGCCGCCGACCTGTCGACTATCCGAGAGAAGCTTCTGGGGACGAGTTACTACACCGGAGTAGAGCCATACGAGAAGGCGGAAAAGGCGGCGCAGGGGTACTTCAAGATCTTTGGTGGAGCGCCTCCGCCGCAGAACACGCCGCCCGAGTTTGTGGAGAACGCCGCCTGGAGGCATCCGCTGCCGCTGCACCCATGGGCACGGCTGGCTGCGGTGGTCACCATGTTCAGCATGATCATCTCTCTCGAGGTGGTTCTCCGCGTATCCAAAGCCAACGGCGGCATCGCGACCGTCAAGGCCAACACCGACAGACACTTCCTGTGGACCACTGGAACCGGGGTCATCTTTGGACTTGTGGTGTTATACCTCGCTGCAGCAGACTGCGCGACCCGCTGCCTCGCCCCCTACGCCAAGCTGAAAGAGGGCGGTTCCTTTGAGACGACGGTCGGCCTCGACTTCATGGACAAGTCCAAGCACAGGATTCTCTACGACGCCGTCAAGACACAAAACATTGCCGTCGTCTTTACCACGACGGCTCTACTTGTAGCATCACTTCTCGCGACCTTTTCAGGCGCGTTGTACAGTACAACACCGATACCCTCCACGCGCCCAGTCACCCTCCGGGCCCTTGATAGTTTCACCAACGCCTCGACGCCGTGTCCGACGTGCACCACCGACACGCTCTTGGCGTCCCTGATCCTGGACGCGAACTTGACGTTCCCGTCCTTCACGTTCGAGGACCTGAACTTCAACACCCTGCAGCTCACGGAGCAACTCGACATGCAGGACGGCGCAGGGATGATTCTCGTCACGCTGCCCGCTGTCCGCTCGCGGCTTGACTGCCGACTCTACCCGCAGTCGGAGATCAACACCAACTTCACTCTCCCGGAATTGCCGAACCAGTTCTCAGCTGAGATGACGGTCAGGATCACCGGCGAGCCGTGCTTGGATCCCTCAATCAGATCCAACGCGGTCTTGCCGATGGGCGAGTCGTTTTCCTCCTCCGTTTTTGGTATCGCAACCCCGCGGTCCGCGGCATCATCCCAGTGTTCCGACTTCACCTACGTCTGGGGCCAACTCTCCGATAACACACCGTCGCAGGTCGGCTACATCTCGGCCATGGGCTGCAACGAGACGCTCGAGACCGTCATGGCCGAGGTCCGTCTCACGGGCGCATCGTTGCACGTCGACCCGACATATCCGCCAGTGGTGCGAGGCAACACCGCTAGCCGGGTGACTCTGACCCTCTTGCCACTGCAGTACGGCCTGCTCGCCAACCTCACCACAGGCAACCAGCTCGACCCGTTCTTCAGCTCCCTTGTCACGTCCCGCTTCGCAGTCCCCGCAGGCAACCTGGGCGACCCGGGCCTCGGCAAGAGCGGCCTCGTGGCCGACGCCATTGTCCGGCAGCACGGCATCCTCCGCGCGCAGAATCTCAACGTCAACTCCCGCCGTCGCATCCCGGACATCACCGCGCAGGACACCATCCCCGCCATGCTCAAGTCCACGTCCGTTACCTCTCTGCGGAGACTCGTGCAGGACAACGCCTCGACGCGCATCATCCAGTCCGTGCTGGCGCTGCTCATGGCGCTGACGCTGGTGGCCTGGCTCCTCACGCCCGGCACCGACACGATCCTGCCGCGGAACCCGTGCAGCATCGCCTCCGTGGCGGCGCTGCTCGTCGACGGTAACGTCTTTGGGTTCCTCGGGCGCGGCGCCGAGTGGCAGGCGACGGAGGAGATGAAGCGGAGCTTCCTCGACGGGAGCCACTCCATGGGGTTCAAAGTTGGGTACGAGCGGGTGCGGAAGCGCAGGGGCGTCGAGGACCTGAACGGGGTCAAAGGCGACGGGCACATGGCGTACGGGATCAATGTCAAGCGCGGCGGCGGCTGGGGCGGCGGCGAGGATGTCGGCCTCGGTATCTTGGCGCGGGTGAATCGGGCGCATCGTGGGTTTGTCAGGGGATGGGGCAAGATGTGAGTGGGGTGCCGCTTCATTGTTTTTTTGTTTTTTTGGGAGTTTAGCGATCAGCGGGGAAAAGAAAAGGGGGAAGGGGAGTGAAGGTTCTTGTTTTTCTCTTCTTCTTCTTCTCCTCTTTCTCTAGTCTTACGACCCTTATGTCTGTATACTATACCTGGAGTTTTCTGTGACGGGGTCTGGGACGGGATGATACCACACAAGCTTTTTTACGGAGGGGGGAAACAGCACCAGGCGTCTCGAGCTGCGGGATTGTCTTTTATTTCTTGGGGCTGTATACTACTACTTAGTCTGTTCAATTTCTGACTAGTTGGATGGGAACCATGATTGCGATGCTTGTCTGTGAAGTGAAAGAGATGCAGAAAGTGATTGAGAGGGCAACTGAGTGTTGGCGACGCTGCTTCCCGAAGCGAGGTCTTCAGGAGTCTATGAGGGTTGACGTCAACCTGTATGCTTTACTGGGATCCCATAGCGATGCAAGGACTGATGAGAGATAAAGAGCGCGGGACCGACGTTTAGGGTGCGAGGGAACTGCCGCCAACACTCCCTACGGCTATGGGCTGGGCTCCGTAGGTGCTTAGCAGTGGCGGAGTTCACGACAATCACCGGCGCTGAAGCTCGACCTCGCCGCAATGCCTAGACTCGGCATCCCGGGACGGATCTACGCCACCCGCGGAGAAGACGGGCTGCGGGCACAGCCGGGGCGCGCGCACCCCGGAGGATATCTATCGCAAACGCCAGATATGGTTGGGGATCCCGTGGCCTTGGCAAAGTACGAGGATTGGGGGGGAAAGAGGGAACGGAGACGAAGAGGGGGAAACTGAAAGGCTTGGCTGCGGGAGCGATTTCGAATGGGCTCGAGTCGCGTCTGATGGGCGTGTCCGGTTGGGGGGCGTCTGTGGGCGGTGCAGGAGTCGTGTTCTTGGCGCGTCATGCGCGATCTGGGTTGGGGTGGGACATAAGAATTGGAGAGCGGAGGGGTTACGTCAAAGCATGAGGTTCGTGTATGTACTTTGTGTGCTGTCTGTTCAGGTATCGGATGTTCTCTTGAGTAGGTGGACAAAGGACTTCATTCTGGAAACGGTTCTCCTCTCGCCCCCCCCCCCCCCCCCCCCCCCCCCCCCCCCCCCCATTTGACTTCATGATCATGATCCCGTGTTTTGCCCCTTTTGATGTTCTCCTTTTTTCCCCTCCCGCATGCCCAATGCGCCCGGCCCAACGTAAAACGTCTCAAGTGGACTCTGTGTGAACCGGGAAAAAACGCCGTGTCTTAACATAGAAACAAGTGCTGGTCTGCGGTGTATCGAGTCAGCCGCGGCCATTTTGAGGGTAGACCAGTTGCGTTCGAGGGAGTATTCCATACATACCGAGAGTGTACTCGCGGCCATTATCGCGATGTCGGTGAGCAAGGACGTGTTTATGCGACGCTACAGGCGCAACCCTTGCGTCCCTCGACGGAGACGACGGGGAAGGGCACGCAGACCATGCCGTTCTCCTCGCAGTTGAGAGTGGGCTGGTTGGGTGCGGCGCACTCGGTGTCGGTGCAGGGGCCGTCAAAGAAGGCCGAGGCGCCGGCGGCAAGCAGGGTGACGATGGCGAAGGCGGCACGCATTGTGGCGGTTCGGGTTCGGCGTTGTAAAGAAAGTTGGGTGTAGGGGGAAGTTTGTTGATGGGCGTGGGGGGGGAGATTGGACGATGAAAGTGGATGCCGGTGTGGATGTGCGGGATGAGTCTGGTGATGGGATGGCAGCAGCAGTCGAGAGAAGGCGGGATGACCACGTCCTTCTTATACACGGGCATCTTCAGAAGCGATGAGAACAGTGGCGAGGTATAACAAACTTTGGAAACATGTGCCAAGCTTGGCTTGGGGGTTACGCGGCGGGTGATGAGTTAATACCGCCTCTCCTATCGTTTCCCCCAGTCTTAGAACTGCTCAAAATGGTTGCAAGGAGGATGCTATTTCCAGTGATTGTGGAGCTTTCCCAATCACGAGCCCTTGCGAGAACATGTCCCGCGAGCGCGGTGTGTTATGAGCGAGCGGCCTTCGTGTGCGCTTGGCGACCTGGTTTGCTTTACTAGCTAGTGTATGGCTTATCCGGCGAGAGAGCGACTGACCGGGGGGCTTGGGGTGGTGAGAGATTTGGCAGCGGCGTCATGTCCGCGATTCGAACCACCGACGGGCCTTGGCGCGTACGCAAGTTGAGTTTTGGGCTATTAAAAGCCATCGAGTATATGAGCTTGATCAGTGCTCTTGGCGATGAGGTGTTTCCACCCACTCTTGGCGGGCGATGGCCGTTTAACAGGAGAACTAATAAGTGCAGAGGCGGCCTGGCCCGGCAGGGTTGGCTGGCGTTATTCGTCGGGGGCCCATTATGGTCGAATTGATTAGGTGCCGTGGGAGTCTCGTACTTCTTCTAGACTTTCGGCCGAAAACCATAATGTGAGCACGGCTCTGGGGAGATGTTCGGGTAATCAGGCGAGGGACTCGTCTCATAGGCCATGGAGTGACTGGATATGGATACTAGGCCGTCTTCCGAGGCTGAGTGTTGCCTCCCGAGCCATGGTCGTGGGCGCGACTCATGCAATTGCTAGGCTACGAACTCGCAAGTGTTGGATAAGCCTCGAAAAGCCTCTGCCGCAGCTGGGGATTGGCATGTTACTTCCGATTATAGAGTGGAGACTTGAGCCATGTTCATGTTGAGTTGACGGACTGAACGTGGACGACGCAAGGGCAGAAAGAGGCCGGAGAAGAGGCAACATGAGCTCATCGGGAGACGAAGAAGCCTCATATCAGCTAGACATCCGACGCTGATAGGTCAGCTGCTCAGGATGAAACTCAAACCAATGACACCAGGTATAAGTCGGGCTACAAATTTACATCGTCTCGTTGGATCTTTGGTGGAGAACCCCAACTCGAGTCCATTTGCTGTCTATATCACCTGTTAGATTATGTATGCACGATGGCTTACTTCAAAACAAGCTTATCCCGACCGCTTTTTGGCCCGGATCCAAGAGATTTCTGCAGAGTAGCATCATACACACCCGCAGCCAGTCCAAACCCCTCCCGATGCATCGTCTCATGCATATTGACCGTCTTTACCTGCGATCTTCACTAGGCTTTGGACAAGGTTTTCTTAACTCAAGGTTGTTCCCGGTACCCTATTTCTATTAGATCCACCTCCAGTCTTGGTGATATACACACGGGAATGAAATAGCCGCTCCCAAAGTGACAAATAAGACCCGCAATGACTTTGATTTATGACAGGTGCTTGGGTTTAACACGCTGCTCAGAACTCTTGAGGCCACGCCTTCGCGAAAGCTTCCCATGGCGTCCGCCGTGCAACTTGATGGTGACAATGACTGGAGTGGCAAACCAAATGAGAGTTAACAAGGTATCTCATCGTCACCAGCCTGCCGACGTTACTGCACAATACCTCACACGGTAAGATGGACGTCTGTGTCAATGCTCGGCGGTCTGTACAGATTCATTCCATTCAGGATAGCAATAAAACTCAAATCCCACTACTTGCGAGATGTTTCCGTCGCTTTTTTCCCCATCTCATCCCAGGCAAACGCACAATTCTGTCTCGTCTTTACAGGTCAGTGCCTCATGCCAAGGCAACACAATCTATGTTACAGTCCAAATGGTTAACCCGCAAGCACAGTTCCGCGGGGCAGACCACCCTCGACTGATGCCAATACCTCGCAGACCACACCGTGAATCCCTCTTCAGCGGTGCCTCCGGAAGGGGTGTGCCTCAGTATTGAGGACGTAGTCGTCAAGACTGATGAGGTCAGGGGGTGAGAAGACCAAGTAGAAGTACTTCAACGTCTCCGCCAGCCAGAAACTCTAAAGGTCATCATGCAACGTTAGTAATCTGACAATCTCCCCATTAGGAAAACATCTTCCACCGCAGGTGCTGACGCGGTCAATATTATGGAACAGGACTCACCTCCATGTAGTCCTCTTTGGGCAAGGGTTCCTGCTTCCGAGTGACGTCCAGAACAGCGGCATTTCCAAGGTCAACCAGCGTCCCGTTGCTGACGGCCTTCCACATCTCCCATGCCGCTTCCTGGAATCCTCTGTCGCCCGTGATGCGGTACAATACGAAAACGCTCTCAATGGCCTCCGGGCGGAGGATGTATCGCGGGTCCTTTGCCGTCGTGAAGCCTTTGGGCAGGTGCTCCTTGTATTCGGGCCGTAGCTTCTTTCCAGCCTCCCACTTGTCCTCATCCCACTTGCAGTCATCCCTCCGGTCGCAGGCGACCATGTTGAAGCGCTCTGGCATCATGCCCGTGGGCATGGCCTGGTAGGCGTAGTAGCACCCCAGCGTCAGGCGGCCGCCGACTTTCACCCACTCCTCTTTGCCCAGGATGCGGCCGGCGAGGGCGTAGATGCCGCCGATGAAGCAAGCCAGGTGCTCGCTCTCCGGGTCGAGTTTCTTTTGCCCGTCATTGTCGACATTGACGTTGCCCGAGATGAGCACGTTCTCCTCGCCGGGCAGCATTGGACGGAAGAAGAGCGACTCGTTGGCTGCCTTGAGGAAGTTTTCCGTCATGGTTTGGTATTTCGGCTCACGGCCGTTGAGGAGGGCCATCATTTTGGGGAGGTACTCGTATAGCGAGTCGGCGCAGCCGGCAATGGTGAAGGTTGAGCCCGAGACGACGTCGCGGTTGCTCATGGAGACGTACATGGGCCATATGCCGGGCAGCTTGGTCTTTTGCTGACCATTGTGAAAGAGGTCCATGACCTTTGCCACGGCGTCGTAGTATTTTGGGTCGCCAGTGAGCTGGGACAGACGTGTCATCTCAAGAGACAGCGTCCCGGGAGAGGCAGACACAACAGAGCCTTCAACAATGAGACCTTTTCCGGTCTTGGCGTCTTCGAAGTTCATAAAGTCGACGGGCATGCGGTGCTCAGTGTTGAAGGCGCCGTAGAGCATGTTGCCCAGCTCAACGGCCTTGTCCAGCAGGACGGGTCGCCTGCTGAGGTCGTACGCAGCCATGAGACCGCCGAGGTAGCGGATGTTGGTCTCAAAAGTGTTGACACGGCTCGAGGAGGACGAGCTAAAGTCGATTCTCGCGACGGCTGCAACGGCTTCGTCGAATTCGGACTTGAGGCCCATGATCCACAGTGTGTCGAGCGAGTCGACGAGGGTGGCAGCCCATCCGGAGAATTGGTCCTTTGCAGTGGCGGAAATGGGATTGAGCGCGTCCTTCATCCAAGCGAACTCCTTGTAGCTTGCCCAATTCTTCAGGAATAGCTTACGGACCTCTTGGCGACGGGCTTCGCGGACCCGAGAGGCCGAGATGGACTCGGACAGGAAGCGGTGCTGGATCCGGGGCAGGGAGGAACCCTTGCCGGGGCTGGCCGGGACGGGTGTCAGCGGCGTTTGCGGCGGGTACTTGAAGTTGACGGCGGACCAGTCGAAGCTTGATTTCGACGTCACGGGCGGTGGGGCGACATCTTCGAGGTTCATATAGCGCTCAAGCATAGCGGTTTCCGTCCGCGGGTGGAGCCAGACCGTGTCTAGTATGTAGACGAGACAGACGATAGTAACAAGGGCGAGGGCGAGCGAACGCACCCGCGTCCAGCGGTATAATGCGCCCATGGCTGCTGATGTGAGATGCGTCGCGACAGATGGTATCGCGGCTCGAGGTGTGATGATGGCTCAGGATGAACAGCTCACGAAAGATATGCACGGCTAACGCCAAGTCATGTGGGTGTATTTGGGGGGGGGGGGGGGTGGCAAACAAAGGGGCAGCTGTTTGTCAAAGGCAGCGCCTGAATGGCAAGGGCTATGAGGCGACAAGGCTGATGTGAGGTGTAAGGCTGTCGTCCAATACTGATATCCAGGGGGCCGATTGCCAAACGAAGCGTGTTCTTGATGCGTGGTTCAAGAAGCAGATATGCGTGGGAAATGAAAGCATTGTTTCGCTTCGCCAAGCAGGCTGGTGGCGCTGGAGCGGCGTTTCGAGACAGTCGAGACGAGGAGCTGGAAGTCAAAACGGGCGTGCCCCCAATCGGCGGCCAGCGGCGATCCGCCCGGCTAAACACTGTCCTCTCTGCAAACCTTGCTCATCCATGCCCAAAGTTTTGAAAAGGAAGTGATGATGGGACGGTGGAGAAGTTTAACGGAGCCGTGGGAGCTTGGGAACGGGAGTTGTATCAAAGAGAGGCCTTGGTGCCTGCAATTGTGGGCAATCATGTTTGCTATCGGAGTACTTCAGGGACGTGAGCTAGTGAGCTATTGAGCCAGGTTCGACAGATCGGGACAGTTCCGGCGGACAATTGATGGGATCTTCATTTACGACTGCAAATGTCGTCGGTGGATTCGTTTTGACAGGAGAGCTCTTCAACGTGGTCAGGACTCAGGATATGCCCAGAGAACCCCAGGCTCTGGATAAACAGTCGCTTGCTACACTCTTTGAGTCAATCTAAAATTACGTTTCCCCACAGTGAGTTGCAGCGGCCCGGATCTGCCAGCCCCTGATGATCAGGGGGTCGGACGGTTTAAGCGAAGGGATTGAGGCGTCTCACCGGAGGGCATGATTGGGCGGTTGCAGACGAAGACGCAGGAACGGCGTGCATCTCACGGGGCTCAAAACTTGGCTCGCGACGTAGGATCCTATTTCCGAAGTATTGGAACTGTGTGAGATTTGATAGATGCAGGTGTCAGCAACCTTGGCGACACTAGGTATGTAAAATATTCAAGACACCGTTTGGCGACCCAGCAAGAAGGATGTCACCTCGATCGTCAAGTAACACTTGTCGCTGGGTCAAAGACCATCTGCTCTCACTTTATTACAGGGTTGAGTGACTGGTGTTTGCTAATTTCATTACGTTTCGGCGAGAGTCTGATTGATTGACGGTTCCTCATCTGCCGCCCTTAAAAGTTCATTAGAGTGAGTGGTGATTGAGTGAGTGAGTGAGTGAGTGAGTGAGTGAGCCTAGGGAGTGGGGATAGGGGTAGGCGAGATGGACAAATAACCGACAGGTGGCCCATAATAAACAATGTTGGCAGTGAAACACTGTAGCTACTATGTAGGGACCGTAGTACTCCGAAAGAGAAAACGTCTAGCTAGGGTTTAAGCTACATATCCGATTTCGCCGTGGGCCGAGGGGGAAACAGCCGTCTAATTCGATCGCTTTTGAATAAGGTTGTGGGACATATTGCATCGGGACATGGTGCAAAGATGGTCCGAGAAATATCGACTTTGGGTGGCGTGCGGGATTTCCATGCGCAATCGTGATCGCCCGTCTCGTCATCAGTCTTTTCGCACAAGCTACTATGTACACGACATTTCGTCGCGACGTGACATGCTTAAGGCGACATTCTCATATTCTAAGACGTGACTTTGCCTTATGATCCCCACATCTGTCATTATCATGGAACACCATGACTTTGGCATCTTCTCATCCACGCGGATAAAGCATCGCTTGGTAAGCCCTTCCGATGGGCTGTCTCTTATGAATGAAGCTTCGTCTCCCCCATACCTACAAGACTTGGATTTCGGCACCAAGTGCCGGCTCCCGGTGCCGGGCTAAGGCGGACTGCCTCGGCCTAAGCGAGCCTACCGCGGGCCTCCTCCGCAAGCCGACTTCGGGCCCCCCAGTCTCCCGTGGGGACCCCAACCCTTCCTTAGCCAAACGGTGGTGACGGTGGCGCCGTCATGACCGTGGGTCTTTGGGGGGAAAGGGCCAGAGCGACGTGATGGCCCCGCCGGCGTTGCCAGCAACGACTGGAAAGATGCAAAGACGCCGACAGAACCCGTTGAGCGGGTCCGACGGTGGACGTCACGGAGCCCCCATCAAGGTGCGCGCGCACTCATCCTGACAAACAATGATGCAATTGCAGCCCCTCCCCCTCACTTTGCTTAAAGAGGCCACCTAGAAGCTTCTTCCAACCCGCTTTCTTACTGCCAACCCTCACGATAAATCGCGTCCAGCTCCCACCCCAGCTTTCTCTACTCTACAATCAATTCACCGCACAACCAGTCCCCAACATACCTACACTATACAGCAAGAATGTCTTTCGGAAACAAGGCCAAGCTTCACACCGGTGCTGAGATCCCGTACGTCAAGTCAACACAGTCCTGCTTCAACCTCTTATGGCGGCTTTCCCCCTGCCGATCCCTTTACCCCGCCCCCTCTCTCGATCAAGAAGGCTGACTCGTGAACCCCTCATTCTAGCACTCTGGGTTACGGCACCTGGCAGTCTGCCCCCGGCGAAGTCTCCGTCGGCGTCTACGAGGCCCTCAAGGCCGGCTACCGCCACCTCGACCTGGCCAAGATCTACCAGAACCAGCCCGAGGTTGCCCAGGGCATCAAGAAGGCCCTCGCCGAGATCCCCGGCCTCAAGCGTGAGGACATTTGGATCACCTCCAAGCTGTGGAACAACAACCACCGCCCCGAGAACGTCGAGGCCGCCCTCGACGAGACCCTCAAGGAGCTCGAGCTTGACTACCTCGACCTCTACCTCATCCACTGGCCCGTTGCCTTCAAGAAGGATGGCGACAAGCTCTTCCCCCTCGCCCAGGAGAACGAGGTCGACCTCGACCAGGGCGTCTCCCTCGTCGACACCTGGAAGGGTAAGCTACATCACCATCACAATCCTCTAGCGAACCTGCTTGCTAACCCTCGCAGCCTTGATCAACCTCCCCAAGTCCAAGGTCAAGAACATTGGTGTCTCCAACTTCACCATTGAGGACCTCGAGACCGTCATCGACGCCACCGGCGTCGTCCCTGCCGTCAACCAGATCGAGCGTCACCCTCTCCTCCAGCAGAACGACACCCTGATCAAGTACGCCAAGGAGAAGAACATCCACATCACCGCCTACTCTGTACGTGTGCGTCCGCGATTTCCAGATTGAACAGTGACTAACAGCCCCAGGCCTTCGGCAACAACAGCGTGGGTGCCCCTCTCCTCATCGAGAACGACACCGTCAAGAAGATCGCCGAGCGCTTGAACGCCACCCCCGCCCAGGTCATCCTCGCCTGGTCCCAGGTCGGCGGCCACTCCGTCATCCCCAAGTCCGTCACCCCGAGCCGCATCCACTCCAACTTCCAGGAGGTTAAGATCTCGGACGAGGACATCGCTGCCATCAACGAGATCGGCAAGCAGCCCCGCCGCTACAACGTCCCTATCACCTACAAGCCCCGCTGGAACATCAACATCTGGGACGAGGAGGTGGAGAAGCAGGCCACCAACAAAGTTGTCCGCAAGCTTTAAATGTGTTTCTATAATCAAATGATACCATGCCGGAGCTATAGAGTGGTCGTAAATAGTCGACCCACAGATAGACGACTCTATGAATGATGAAAAAAAAGTAATTGACAGAGATGGGCATTTTTGACTATCACGACTAGCTATATTGACGGTGACCCAACGAACCTGAAGGATTACTCGTTTGCCGTCGAGCCATGAGGCTCTAGCACGATACTCCCCAACCAACGTACCCAGGCTGTCAACTCTTCGGTCTCGCTTAAATGCCTAGATTAGATGTATGTCACTGCCTGATTGACAACACTAATGCACCTCCTGCGTAGTAACGTACGTCAAATGAATGGATTGATTGGTTCAATAGCACGCGGTCCCAAAATCATTGATTGCAATTGGAGGAAATCATTTACTCTAAGCCCCGTCAGGTAATTTGCGGCTGACAGTATCTCACCTTCCCGCCTCAATGGATCAGGCTCCGGGATTTCGAGTTCTTCTCTGGGTCTCAGAGAGGTACTACGGGAGACTACGTCAACGCTCGTTCTGAGTGCGCGCCGTATGGCCTTCATCTCACGTTCAAGATGGCAGAGTCACTGGCGGCACTTGGCGTCGCCGCAAATATTGTTCAGTTCCTAGAGCTCGGGCTCAAAGCAACTATTTCCATCGTCGAAATATACCGCAGCATCAACGATGACGGCTGGACGTTGCGCAACGTTGACTTGGACTCGATGGCGAAGGATCTCCGCCTCCGTTGTGATCGCCTCCAAGGTGACGTTGACATCAAGCTAGATCCGTCCATGAAGCGCCTGCTTCAGAGGTGCATCGACACAGCAGATGAGCTTAGTTCACAACTTCGGGGTCTGGCTGTAGACAACGCTAGAAAGCACCAAAAATGGGCAAAGTTCAAAATCTCCGTTGCGGCTTACTTCAAGAAAGGCAAGATCAACGAGATTCAAGCAAGACTAATAGAGATCAAAACACATGTTTTTGAGCAGCTCCAGATACTCCTTTAGTAAGCTAGTCCGATTCCTAACCAAATTGCATTACTTGCGTTTCAAAGCCCTTGTTCTGACGAATTTCCTTAGCAATAACCGTTTATCGCTGTCCAAGTCCATGCGTTCCCTAGAGGAAGCATCAGAAGGATGGAATCGTGCCACGGAAAAGAGACTGAATGCCTTGGCTCAGGATCTCAGGAAACTGGCAGAGTCTCAATCAGCGGCCGCGGCATCAACTGAGGGTCTCAAAATATTTACCGAGACCTGGGCACGTGTTTCTGAGGAGGCCAAAAACCAAGAGACCATCCTTACGATTCTTACAAGCCTCCGGTTCGTGCAAATCAAAGAACGGCAAGGCGAAATCCCCAAAGCACATCGTCGTACCTTTAAATGGGTGTTTAGTGACAACTCTCCTGTCAACTTCTCGGCTTGGCTCCGCGACTCGAATGGCTTGTTTTGAATCACTGGAAAACCAGGGTCCGGGAAGTCTACTCTGATGAAGTTCATTCTCAGCCATGAACAGACGATGCTACTTGCGGAACACTGGGCCAAGCCCGAACCGCTCATCGTTGCTAGTCACTTCTTTTGGAGTGCTGGGACGATGCTCCAAAAGTCACAAGAAGGCCTGCTCAGAACTTTACTGTTCCAGATTTTGGTGAATTTTCCAGAGATTGTTGCTACAGTCTGCCCAACACGGTATTCCAACCCGTTCAAGCGCCTAGAGTCCTGGACCACTGAAGAGCTCTCAGGGGTCTTTGAGCGCCTCAAAGACCTTCGACCGTTATCGAGTCGAATTCTTTTACTGATTGACGGACTCGACGAGTACAACGGCAACCTCGGCGACTTGGTGCAGTTTCTGAGATCCGTTTCGCAATCTCCGTACATCAAAGTTTGTTGCGCAAGCAGACCATGGCCTGTATTTCTTAATGGTTTCGACAACATTGCTGGTACGATCCGCATGCACGAACTCACAGCAAATGACATGATAGGTTATATTGGGGACACTCTCGGACAGCACAGTTATTTCGAAACTCTTAAAGACAGCCAAGAGACAGAGGCAAACAAGCTCATCAAAGACATTGCGGAAAAGTCAGAAGGTGTCTTTTTTTGGGTCTCACTTGTGGTCAAGTCACTCTTGCGCGGCCTGGACAACAGCGACGATCTTGACATATTGCAGCAGAGGCTTTCGGAATTTCCTTCGGACCTCGACAAGTTCTTTCAACGCATGCTCGATAGCATTGACGAAGTTTACAGAGACAGCGTATCGATGGTATTCTCGATGCTATTGCTGGCGAATTCATCTTTACCTCTGGTATTGTTTGTGGAACTGAAAAAGCTCATTGCTCCATTCAAACTTACGGGAGCCCCAAAGAGAGTATCTCGTTTCCTGCCTATTTGGCGAGAGGATCCTGATAACGACGGTCGGTTTCCGGACTTTTTGGCGTTTCTTTCGGATGAGGTATGGAAATTTTCCACTGACATAGAACATTACTACATTTCCTACGGTGGCCCTACCATGAGTCGAGTCAACACAGAGAAACACCAGCTTCTAGCACAGTGTCGTGATTTAGTCCAGGTTTGGGAAGTCAGTGGGGACTATGGACCCCAGTACAATCTGAGATTGGGCTTCCTTCATCGCACAGTCGTGGAATTCCTTGAGCGAACTTCAGGATACCAGTGGTACCTAGCCCCTCATTTCGGGCGCTACTTGCTTGCAAGATCGTACCTCAGCTTCATTTCTGATGGTGTTGGGTTCCGAAATAAGACTCGGGAATATGTGCTGAGGTTCTTGTACACTTTACAAGACGCGGACTCGTCGGAGGTCAGATTCTTCTTTGCCCACATCAATTGTTTACTTGAGGGGCTTCTTCGACGTCTTAACTCCAAAACTATTTCGCTTGACCCGCAAGAAAGGGAGGAAATGAAGCTGTTGCTGACGCAAACACGCGCTCGCATCTTGACTGTGGCAGAGCAAGACACTCAGCTGTTCTTTGAGTCGTCAAACAACCTGCCGTACTATCATCCACCTATCATGAAGTTGCCTTGGTGCTTAGTCGAATCAGGATACGTGGAGATCGGCGATTGGGCCCAGGTTTCTTGGTCACGCTTCGTGGACTTGGAGGCTCTGGAATTCTTACTCGACAACCACCTGGCGGCATGCGGCCTTCACCGTAATTATCCTGCTGCATTCTCGACGTTTCTCGTCAGACAAACCGGCGAGACCACGAAGCCGCAGAACGCGTTTCTTGTGTGCAAGACGCTAGTTGAGCACGGGTTCGCAGGGCCTGCAGACCGCAACAAACAACCCACGGCACAGGGCATGAGCCCCTCGCAGATCCTGTCCGAAGGAGCCATGGACTCGGCATTGACGCAGAGTTCCACCATCGAATGGTTGCGCTCGAACATGGTTTTTTCAGAAGAAGAGCTGCATGAGTTGGAGGATGCTTTTCCACTAGACAAGACATCACCGTTTGTTTCACCGGAAGACGAAAATGGAAAGAAACGTAAGCGGAGCTTTTTTTAGACGACAAGGAAAGACATTGCAAGGTTCTGCACCCCAAGTTGTACTTCGAGACGATTACCAGGATAGTACATCTTGGTTGAATCTGAAAAGCAACGGGCGTAATATGTACTAAATACAACACTTTGTAGGGTGCCTTGAAATTGAAGATATTTTTTTTCAAACCCGAAACTTTTCAAAGACCATCTAGAAGGCATCAGAGAGATTGCATTTAGGGAAATGGGTGAGAATTGTCCTCTTTTATTGTCTGTCGAAATACCTGTAATATCGTGGAGTCTCCTGAACACCGCTGGCATTACGAAACTAGAACTTGTCATTGGCTTGTACGATCACTGAGACTTTTAGGCCAAGTGTCAAATAGTCAGCTATGTCTATTCAGTCATTTTGATCATACATTACAGGCCAAAGGAAGTTCAACGTAGTATTCACAACCCTTATGAAGTCAGGACCGAAGCAACTTTGTAATATTGAACGAGGAGTGACAGTCGTGTTCCTGATAAAAGGCTGTATCATAGATTGCTGGAGAATGGATGTGGGGGATGAGGGGTGTGGGGTAATCAAGCCAATCGCCACGATGTGGAGGAACTCACTCAACGGCTCTGTCTTCCCGAGGCTGCGTGTATGATCTGCATTACGAGAATTGCAAAGTAGACGTAATCGTTGCTGATTCGTTCGCAAGGGGTATCGACAGGGTTTCTGCGGGTAATCTTCCCATAGTGCAGTCACAACCACGGACAGATGCCGTTAAGCGACTCGTAGTGTCTGGAATACAGCTCAACGATTACTAAAGAGTGCTGGAAACAACCTTGGCATCGATAAATCGCATAGAATAATACCCCTCCTATCGCGGCAATATTCCAGTAGTTCCGAAACGAGTCTTTTAGACGGTCGAATCATACTATAAATGCGACCTCGAACCGTTCTCTTTCTTCTTTCAAAATCCCTTCCTCTCAAGGCAAGTTGCATACTGTATCCTCCTCCCACAAGGCTATTATTTATACCGCTTGCAGCGGACAGTCCCTCAAAATGGGGGCAATCGAAACTCCTAAGCATATGCTTAGCACTTGGCTTGAATCTTCTTTCTTTAATACAATGGATGTTTGGACATCCTTGTGTCTTGGAATCATCCTTATCAGCATTCTCACTACATTACCCCACATGCGCAAACCCTCTCGGAAACTTCCCCATATCAATCCACGGTCAACGTTTGACATCTTTGGCAGAAGTCAAAAACTGGACTTCCTTTTTAACGCTCGTAAAATCCTGGAGAAAGGAAGGAAGAAATTTCCCAGCCAACCCTACCGACTCATGACGGACGTGGGCGAGACGGTCGTCGTGCCTCCAGAGTTCGTCCACGACATCCGCAACGAGCCTGGGCTCAGCTTCTTGGAAGCTTTCGCGAACAACTTTCATCCCCATTTGCCTGGATTCGAGGGCTTTGCTTCGGGCAGCAGACCAGACGAGCTTCTCCAAACTGTCATCAAGAAACGCATCACGAAGCTGTTGAGTGAGTTCCTCCATATTGGGGCGGTTGACTTACCCCACACCCCACATAGACGCCCCACACAACAGCAGTACGCCGCCATCGCCATGATACTGTGTTGCTGACTCTCTTGTTGGGTTGCAGACCAGATTACCGAACCTTTGTCTTCTGAGACAAAGTACGCCGTTGACCGCATCTTTGGATCACCGATCGGTAAGTATTCGGACTTAAACCTTGCTACCTCTAGAGTCCCAAACCCAGGCTCAGTAACTAAAATTGTTTGGCTACAAAGAATGGCGCGAGTACCACATCAAGAATGACATTCTCGACCTGATATCACGCCTTTCTTCCCGTGTCTTCCTTGGAGCTGAAGTATGCCGTAACGAAGACTGGCTCGCCATTACAAAGTCCTACACTCTGAATGCTTTCCTCGGCGCAATGATCCTACGCCCTTACCCGTATTGGCTTCGCTCTATAGCGCACTGGTTCATTCCGGAGTGTAAATCCCTCCGCCAGCAAGTATCTGACTCTAAAATAATCATCGAACCTGTACTCCAGAAACGGAGGGATCTACGCCGAGAAGCATTTGAAAAGGGGGAACCGGTGCCTAGCTTCAATGACGGCATCGATTGGTTTGAAGAAGAGAGCAAGGGCCGCGAGTATGACGTTGTTGGCGCCCAGTTGGGATTGTCAGTTGTTGCGATTCATACCACCACGGACCTGCTTGTTGAAACCATGTTGCGCATTGCTGAGAACCCGGAGCTTTTTGATCCTCTGCGAAAGGAAATCGTTGAGGTTCTTAGCACGGATGGCTGGAAGAAGACGGCATTGTTCAACATGAAGCTCATGGATAGCGTTTTGAAAGAATCTCAGAGACTCAAGCCCATCACCAGTGGTAAGGAACCCCTCCGAGCTTTGCCATTCATGGTCGTATATTCTAACCGGGTTATACAGCCATCATTAACCGCGTGGCCACCCGACAAGTGACCCTACCCAACGGTCTACAGCTCCAAAAGGGCGAAAGCTGCGTAGGTGACTTGGGAATGATGTATGATCCCTCTATATACCCAGACCCTGAGACCTTCGACGCTTATCGCTTCATCAACATGCGCGGCGACGCCAAGCTCGATAGTCAGGCTCACCTTGTCAGCACATCTGCCGCGCATCTGGGATTCGGACACGGCCATCACGCATGCCCGGGCCGCTTCTTTGCCAGTAACGAGCTAAAAGTGGCACTGTCGCATCTGTTGATGAAGTATGATTGGAAGCTCACTCCTGGATACGAGCATAAATGGCAGGAGATGGGGCTGACCTGGTCCTCTGATGAGACGGCCAAATTGCTAATGAGGAAGAGAGAGATGCCTGAGATTGATATTGACTCGCTGCAAGGATAAATATGGCGGACACTGGCCATACAGCTAGTGTAGCGGGTTCGACTGGGACTGGCACCTGCTGGTTTACGTTTCTGTGCGAAATGGTCTTGCAGACTTTTGTAATAGACTTGGACGTGAGTAGACACTTAGAATCAGCTACAGCCTTGACGAGGGAGTATACTAGAAGAAAGAGACATTTCCAAGACTTGTAAATGAGCCTACGACCATGACTGTCAAAAGAAACAGAGAAGGAATAGAATAGTGTTTTGCCGAAGTTATCCGAATATTTGATATAGCCCAACGACACCAAAAGGTGCCCTCAAACGCCTTTCTAATGGCTCGTAAATCACCTCATCTTCTGCTCTACTAAAAGTCCATCATAGCTTGGTCACCATCTGGGTCGCTACTACCCAGAAACTTCATCGTATGTTTTTGCGAGTCTGGTCTTGGGAACCTAGCACGCTTTTGTACTTCGGAAGGTTCCCAGTCCATTCGTTTCCCTTGTTTACTTCGGCCACGAGACGGAGCAGCAGAGTTGCCGGTCACGGGAAGCCCATTGGCAGTCGACTCAAGAGCAGCTGTGTCTTGTGGACCAGCCTCAACTCCACACTTCGTACCCGTTACAGCTGAAAAACTCGCGTTACATGTACTATGCCGCCGCTGTTGTAGTTGCTGCATCTGGCTCTGGTTCCCCTGCACCATGGCGGTAGCCGTCTTCGAGGGGTACTCCACATGCTCCTCAGGTGACCCGAATCCCAACGTCCTCGGCCCTCTGGAGAGCGGTGGCGATGATGGGACCGACTCGCTGACCGGCAAAAAACTCTGCGGGTCAGGAATGTAGCGCTTGTTACTTCTCTCCGACTCGGGTGAGTCCGGGATCAAGGGTGGTGGCTCACGGGGAACGTCTTGGAACCCTGAGTGCCCCTTAAAGGCTAGGTGGGACATCGGTGATGATTTGGCCGACTGGATTGCAAGCGCCTCCCTAAAATTCCTCTCCATCAGCAGATCATAAGTGAACGACGCCGATAAAGCCCCCGGATGTGGGAATATACCCATTGGTTGAGGACCTCCCGGCATCCGGTGTGGGAACGCGTTGAAAACTTGCGGCGGAGGCTGCGGATGCTGGCTTGAGAAAACGTAGGGTTCATTACGATTCTCTAGTGGGAATGTAAACGAAGGAAATTCTGCGAAAGGGTTCGGTAATCGAGGCTGAAGGTTAGGGTCGGCTACTGTTGGGCTTATCATTGAAGCCTTGGTGTTCCTCAAAGGCTTGCGTAGCTTGGGTCCCGTGGTATTCGACAATGGCCTCGGATGGTCCAACACTGAAGGTGCCAGTCGTGGTGTATAGATCCTTCTGCGCTTGAAAGTATCCTTGCTCGATGGCAGATTGTCTTTATTGTTTTTCCTCTTCTTGATGATCTTTGTAAGCGGGTCATCATTCTCATCAGAGTCATCGTCGGCAGCATTCGGGTCACGCGAGGCTTTCAACTGGTCTACGATCGCCTCAAGGAGATCTTTCTGGTCTCTGACCAGATCTATCCTGACATTCTTCGCAGCCTTGAGTTTGTCTTGGATGAACAGGAGAAAAGGCTGTATCTCTACCAAGCATTCCACCGGCATTAGGTCGATCTCTTTTTGCGCGAACTTAACCAGGCGCATTGAGGCGGGCCGTTTCGCCTTTCTGATATTGGGAATAAGCGGCTGAAGAAGTTGAAAGTTGTTTGGGTTGATCTCTGAGATATCTTGGGCCCAGGGAATGAGCTCTTTGATTTGCTCCATGAGGGGCGTGAAACTCTGAGCAAAATGAGGTTTGACATCAAACGAGGTCTTAAGAGCCGAAACGCCATGATGACAAACATGAATTTTGTTGCACTGTTTCTCCAAAACTTTAAGACGGCTCACAAGCTGGTTGATAACCTTCCGCTGCTTCGATCTCTCCCGCTCCTCTGTGGACAGCTGGTATATGTCCAGATATAGCTCGCGGATGCAATCGACTTCGAACGAAAGCCGGTCGTAAGTCTTCCGCAAAAGTTCATCGAACCTTCGCCGTGCGTACCTGCCTACTTCTTCGATACGATCCCAAAATGTGTTGTCATCTTGCAGTCTCTCAGAGCCAAACGGGAGCTCAAACGGTACTCTGAAGCACGAACCTTTCCTCTTTTTGATGAGAGCGCGATACCTCTGCAAAGTGATCACTTTCCATGAGTTACAATGCCCGGCGATGTCCTTCTTCTTTCGATCTGGAGATGTATACCACGAGAGGTTGTTCAAAATCTGAGCTTCCATGACCGCTATGTCGAACTGCTTTACGCCCAATTCAATGGTTTCCAAACGAAAAAAGAGGTTGAGGTAGTCCTTATGCCACCGAAAGTGCAGCGAGTGGTAGCGAAAATACTCCCCCAAAAGCCGTTCAAGGAACTCCCACACTATGGCACCGGCCTGCTGCAGCTTGTCCTCGTCTGGCCAAAGAGTCATTATCTTTTTCCCGAGTTTGGATGTGTCGCTTTGTGTGCTGGCAACGGGAAACTCGTCCGTTATAAACCGGACCTTTGTCGGGTAGCTCGTGCCGAGGCTCAGGGCTGCCGTGCCGAACCTCTGCGCCTCGGACTTCCAGAAGCCTTCGGAGAAGAAGCGCGCAACGTCAGCGACTTTGACGGGTAGCCGATACGTGTCTGCAGGCATCGGTGGCGTACGCAGTATCATGTCTGAGGGATTCTCGCGGATCTCGCTCCATGTTTGCATGCGGTCGCTCTCATACTTAAAACCAGTGGGCCATCTTATCATCAGAGACCCGGAAGGGAGGAAATGGAGGTGCCTCATCGGCATAGTTGACTGGCAGATGGCCTGCCAGTTGGAGCCTCCAAAGATCTGGCATTGAGAATACGTTTTAGTTGAAGATTTCGAAAAGCAAGTGAGAATCGGCATCGTTAGTGGGAAGGCCACTTACGTAGTTTTCAGTACTATGGCCGAGTTCACTTTTCTGCTCGTTCCCGAAGTATGGCTCAATAGGATTCCGCTCCTTCAAGCCCTTACTCCCGAAGAGGCTCACTCCGATGTCGAGAAGTTGCTGTTTCACGTCTGGTTGGTTTTGAAAGACTGATGCAAAGTCAGCCATTGGCCCAGGTGTGTGCAGCCAATGCATGTGTGCATAATTTACAGCATGCTGGTTGAGAGATATTAGTCCTTTCTGCATCACTCAAGAACAATTCTTGGTCCTGGGCGGTGAAGCCTAAAATGACTGCAAGAACAAATGGGCAAATACCTACAGCAATTTCGTGAATGATAGTGGCGGCCACCGAGAAATGACTCATAATCTTCTCATCGTGGCTATAGCCATCAACCACCAAAGGCCACAAGCAGTCGGCGGAGAGCGTCACGACGATCTTTTCGCCTTCAGCTGCTGTAGATCCCGCCAATGTCTCACCGCCAGGGCTTGAACCAAAGGCGCTACCGAGCTCGAACTGGATGCAGGAGTGCAATGTCTTCCAGGTCATGTCAATGGCGTCTACAGAAGAACGAACATGATCGTCTGCAACGGTTGAGCTGGACCCGTCGTTTTGCATACGAAAGTTCCACGCTGGAAAGATCTTCCTCTTGTGAGGCGGCCGAGGATCACGACTTGCCGGTATGCGGACTCTGTTGAAAGCGTCCATCAGGCGTGACCAGAAAGGATCGTGCTGTTCGAGGAAGGTAAGGATCCGGGAGGCGGCTCGGAGTGCCGGTTGCATTCTTAGCCAGAGGTCATTATTCGTCTATACTCACACGTCAGCTACCACATAACCGTCAAGATTCAACGACTCGTCTCACCTTTGGGTCCCATTCACCCTTGATACTGCCAGCTTGGTAAACAAGTCGTGGGTTCTCGGGCGAATCTCCTCGCCACGTTGCCGCGTTCCACTTCCCTCGTTCCAGAAGCCTGGGGTTAACGTTTCAACACAGACATTAAATAACGTGGTAGAAGGAGGGACATATACCTATGCAAGTCATTTTCCAAGTTACAGCCGTACGTGTTCATCAACGATAACACTCCGTCTTCCAAAAGCTACCATCTGGTTAGCTTATAAATCACCACTGGTACTACTCGGAGCGTACCTCGTGCGTGGTCACACCACCGAAGACTAAAGACTGCCAATCCTCATCGTCTTGCATATCTTGCATCGCCTGGAGTACAAACGTCTCGGTCTCCGATGACTGCCTGATATCTCTCGGCGTCATCTGCGAATACCTCTCAAGCAACGCATCAACGTCGTCCAGACCAGAATTTGCGGCGTATTTCTCTGCCTGCTTCACGATGTAGTCACCCTTGATATCTATACTGTCGACGCCGTTGACCTTGAACTTGCGAAACGTTGAGCGTGTTGGCGTAAGCCTGGAACGTCCGTCTTTGCGATCGGGATGAATACCGAATCGAAGTGCGAACGCAGTCGGGTTCTGGCTGCGGTCTTGGGGCAGTTGCGCAGGCCGTAATCTGTTCAGCAACCCCTTTTTGCGGACAAGATGGTTCAGGTCATCGTCAATCATGACTGTGTCGTGTCCATCCCATAGTGGATCAGTCCAGGCGGGTATGAATTCAATGAACTCCCATGTCCCCTGGTTTGCGAGTTTCGCGGGTGGCGGCTGGATGTGCAGAGGTGCGTGTTGACCTCCCGGTCTTTGACTTGCGTTGAGCTGAGCTGAGTTGTCATTGGATCGAGTTGCATGCGCCAGTAAACTGTCTGTCACGTCATTATTGTCGTTGTCATCATTGTCTTCGCCGTCGTCGTCGTCTATGCTGTGTTCTGGGTATTCTCGACTGTTGTTCTGATACCAATTCTCATCGTATTGTAGTAACGCCTCAGCTGCCTGATCAAGAGCTTCTGCCATCGTGCTCGCCTTGGTAGGAAATGTCGTTTGGAATTTAATGCGGCTTGGAACTGTGAAAAAAAATCAAGATAGTCTCGCCAGAGTGACGGAGTCCGTTCGAAGGAGGGGAAAATACAATCTTGCCTTCCGTTAACACTCTATTGCCCGAGTTGACATGAGACCTAGAACCAACCTCGTATTTCGGGATGAACCTTGGCTTATTGTTCTAATTGCGTAGAGAAATCTCTTTCAATCAGAATCAGAAGGACTGCTTTCGATGGTTCTGGCTTAGGCTCATATTACATTTTGCTCTGTAACAATTAGATCTTATTGCCAAAGTCTAGAACAAAGATTCTCAGTCAAACTGTGAAGCATCTGTTGTATTACCAAGGCAATATCCTCGAGAATAGTCTTTCTGACCAATTAAGGGGTTCTGTCTAGTCCCATGGAGGGAGGTGGTAGGGATGGAGCCGGCGCGAGAGCCGAATGAAACATCAAGACCTTAGAACTACATGGGATGGTGTCCCGAAAGACCCACGCTCGACATTCGACGTTCATGACGGTAGTGGTACAAGAAGCATATACCGGAAAATAATCTCAAGGGGCTAGGCATAATCAGCTGCAATGGTCTGTGGGTTTCATGATAGGGGATACCGGAACAATGAGCTCAGCCTTCTGGCAAAGCTCGTGCGACGCAAGAGATCTCAAGTTCCTAATACAATAAATAGTCCTCTGGTTGTACATTGTTCCATACGAATACAGGCATGACTACTTAATGGCCCCTGTTTTGTTGTTTTTGGTATGCCAAACATTTTATGAGAACCGATATCGCGTGTCCGAGTGAAACTCAAGTAGCAATTAAAAGCCCAGCCCTTGCAGAAGCATGCATGAATGAATGAACCTCAACATCGGTAGACGTATAGGAAGGGCGGAGTTGGTACAAGTTCTCATGGTGAAAGAGAGCAAAAACAAACCACTAATTGAATGGATAAGAGGCTGCGCCGTGATTTGTTTTGGTTTCGCCGGCTGGCAGATGCCCACTGTTACCTTCCTGTGACATCACTTTCTCAAAGGATTGATAATGTTTCAAGCAGACGCAACCAGCTACAACAATCGCCCACGTCTCGTACACCTTGTTTCAAGGGAAACACTTAGACCTCGGTAAACTGAAGTGGTCTCCTGCTCGGCTTCCTGCTTGCTGCCGGCGGGTAAAGGCCAAAATACCATGTCAACATGTTGCCTTGGGGATCGCCAAGAGCGAAGCCCTCAAAGCTATGTATGGCCGATGCGAATAGACGGCATGTAACTATGACAATAGACAAGGACTAACCACTGCTAAAATCATTTCTCAATCCCTTGAGATACCAGCTTTGTCACTCCCTAAATACAGAACTGCCTGTCATAACACTCGTCCAGCATCCTTGCGGACCCTTCGCTATGTTATTCGGGTCGTTTCTCCCAGGAAAAATGCTCATCGCAGCGCAGTGTGCGGCGGACAACGGCCTCCGCGCTCTCAACGCGATATGACCCCCGAGATGCCTGACCACTGCCCAGGTCTTCTACGCACTCTCACCCAGGGACCGGCAGCGGCTAAATCCCCCTCCAATCCTCCCACCGTTTAAACTGTACCTCAGAACATGATGATAGTCTCTCGGTGCTGGAAGCATCGTCTTGTTTCTCGAACGCGTGCTCATGCGTCACATTCAGTACGAGGGAGGGCGGCACCTGGAAGACCTGAGATTGCCACTTCGACTCTGCTTCCGAAGTTTCGGTGCTCGAATACAATCTTGATACCAAATTTGACCATGGTAGAGAGCAGGTGACCCATACACAACTCTCACCCGAGACGATCAAACAACAGCTACGCATAAACCGTCAATTATGGAATGGATATTACAAGGTACGGGGGCCTGCAACACTTCGTTCGGCCTGTCAAGTCTAGCGACCTCGTCTTTACAGACGGCTTTTATGCTTAGACCTCTTACGTCTTTTGGTCCGGAATAAGAATTCAAGGGAACGTGAAAGCGATGGTGATAGGCGGTATACCGAATGGTGGACTCATGCAAGGTGTCGGCGGTACAGAGCGTAGGCACTTCATTGTAAGCAAACACTTGAAGCATCCCAGAATGTCATGGCAACAAATAATACGAAATGGCCTTGAAGAACGAAGCATCACCATCGCAGCTTACCAAGTTGCCCTGCTGCGAATTATCGGCGTAACCGTTATTGTCCGCAATCAAATCTTCCGCGACAGCATCCGAGCCGGAATTTTGAGAAAGTTGGTCAATAAGCCAGCCGTTTGTCACCTTGACTATTCTTGGTATGTTGGGTAACGCGAGGGAGATCTGAAAGGCTGCGGTCAGCTCGTCGGGGGAACGTGGTGGCTGAGTCACTGGCACAGGGTTCGGGGACGAGGGGTCTGGTGTCCAGTCGCCTAGGACGGCGACTCACGAAGCCCCCAGACCGCAGACTGACGTTATATCTACAGCTGGCGTTGGTTTGGGCCAAGATCTCTACAAGAAGACTCTGATAGGCACCCCGGGGGAACCCACATGTTTTAAGCTGGCTGCGTGTTGTCTTCGGCAAGCTTGTAGTTATTTGTTGCCTTTGTCGACCTCTTGTACCCTTCGATGTTTTCGAAACCTTCTATGCTTGCTCCGCGGTTGTTGATCGATGTTGGGGCCTGGATAAGATTGGCGTGCTGTTGACTGCCACCAACACTTAGGAAGCAAGTGCAAGTGTAGTATCGATAAGGGGCGGCCTACTGGGTCATGTAAACTTTGGATGTGTGACGTGCGCAGACGAACACATTGTCCAGAGTCTGACTACCGCTCACTAGGATATGCTTGCTTAACGTCCCTAAGGGCGACAATATTGGTCTAGAGATCTACGCCGCAAAGGCACAGACCGGCGCCTTTCGTCTCGCTAGGTCATTGTGGGGGATTTGTCGGGACAAGGGCCGGTTCCGGTGGATGAGGCTACGTCGGCGGGTGGTTTCGAGTACTGCGAAATCAAAGTATCAGTAGACGTCACAGCATCTATCGGGGGTGACTGGGTGGGTGCTGACTCTTGCAAAAACTCTCGTAGATGATCTAGGCCACGTCATAGCAGGTTTACGAGCCAGAACCATTCTGCGGGATGTCGTCTGACGAAGCCGGTAATGAAGCGCGCTGGCCTCTGTGTCGTTGCCCAAATCTCTGGCCTAGCTGGACGTTGTCAGTGATTGATGCCCCAAAAGCAACCGTCTGGAATTATCAAGCACGGCTGTATGCGAGCAAAAAGCCGAATGACAAGCTGTAGTAGTATGGTTTGCCCGATGTTTCCAAGGAATGACCATATCCAGTTCGTCCATCGCCCCTCATTGTGATTGCTGAACATGGAGTGTTGCAACTCGATGCCTCGAAGTGAAACCTGACGAGACCCGACAGCTCTGCTACGGCGGTTCAACATTCACAGCTGTTCGGAAGCTCCTTTCTGGGTGGTCTGGTCTCATGGAAAAGACAATTGATGCTTATACGCCGGTCCAGCCTGGAGGCACGTCGTCGTCAAGAACGTATGGCTTTGCCATGCCTCAGGGACGGATGAAGGGTCTACAGTAACATGTTGCATCAGCGTCACCGCGAGACCCGGATTGGACTCGAGGAAAGGAGTTCCCAGAGGCCAATCGGAGCGAGCCCATTGAGTGCAATACCCGAATAAAGTCCGAGACCAATAGTGGACGGAAAAAGTCAGCAGCATCTTACAGGGCACTTGAGCCTGAGGCAACACCTATCACCGGGAATCGGAAGCCCCTTTTTTTCTCCTTTTTGTTACTTTTTCTTCTTTTCGTTTGCATGAAACAAGCACTCCAGCATGTGAAGACGTCGAGCATCTTACTCAGACCGAACGATCAAAGTCCCGGGACCTCGCGCATCCGTCACATTGGGCGGCCAGCAAGGGCGGGAGGGCGTGCGGCCCATGCCAGTTTCGTTGCCCGGCCTAAAAAATGACGGGCTTCGATGACCGGGCGATGGTGAAGAAAAATTCTACGGGGCCCCACGATTTTGTGGAGTGTTTTGGCGCTATCGTGGAGAGCAGGAAGCGCACGGCGAACGAGTGAGGCGCGCGCATTCGGCCGGGCTTATCACACCCCGCCATTTGTAGGATGAGCTGGTGGCCTGAACGTATCGTATCGATAAGAAGGCGATATCGTGGACATCTTAATATCAACGACGTCTCTCAAGATGCTGGGGGAGAACGCCGACGTCCTTGGATGACCATGCCAGCCCACCTCGTCACCGATGGATGCGTGTTACCTGACCATGCCTCCTCCGTGCAGCCATCTACCGGGCGGTGACAACAGCCTGGGGACCACAGCTTGGAGACATCTCATTTACGTCTCGGCATCTTAGATGGCGATGGGTAGACCCTACTTCATGAGAGGCAATGGGGTTCAGGACTTCATATCACAAAGCCAACCTAGAATATCGAGCCGTTGTTCTCGAGGAATATTCTCAGAGGTGAGGACCCGGAGGCCAGTGAAGGCAGTTCAAGACATCCGGGTAGGTCTTGGATTCGTCTAGCCTCGTGGGCCAGGCTCGGTGTGCAGCTTGCCTGTCAGCCTAGACCACCGTGCTTCATCAGCGTTCCACCAATCCTTACTCTCACTGTCTTGACTAGACAAGACTGGGGGGTAGCCA